GTTATCTATGGAGGCAAAGAAGGAATGTATGAAAGTATAGTAGTACCAACACACTTATATGGTTGTGAAGCTTGGGTGGTAAATGCAGCAGCGAGGAGACGGTTGGAGGCAGTGGAGATGTCCTGTCTAAGGGCAATGTGTGGTGTAAATATTATGCAGAAAATTCAGAGTGTGGAAATTAGGAGAAGGTGTGGAGTTAATAAAAGCATTAGTCAGAGGGCAGAAGAGGGGTTGTTGAGGTGGTTTGGTCATTTAGAGAGAATGGATCAAAGTAGAATGACATGGAAAGCATATAAATCTATAGGGGAAGGAAGGAGGGGTAGGGGTCGTCCTCGAAAGGGTTGGAAAGAGGGGGTAAAGGAGGTTTTGTGGGCAAGGGGCTTGGACTTCCAGCAAGCGTGCATGAGCGTGTTAGATAGGAGTGAATGGAGACGAATGATACTTGGGACCTGACAATCTGTTTGGAGTGTGAGCAGGGTAATATTTAATGAAGGGATTCAGGGAAACCGGTTATTTTCATATAGTCGGACTTGAGTCTTGGAAATGGGAAGTACAGTGCCTGCACTTTAAAGGAGGGGTTTGGGATATTGGCAATTTGGAGGGATATGTTGTGTATCTTTATACGTATATGCTTCTAAACTGTTGTATTCTGAGCACCTCTGCAAAAGCAGTGATAATGTGAGTGTGGTGAAAGTGTTGAATGATGATGAAAGTGTTTTTTTGGGGATTTTCTTTCTTTTTTGGGTCACCCTGCCTCGGTGGGAGACGGCCGACTTGTTGAAAAAAAAAAAAAAAGAATGATCTAAGTATATATTTGATAAAATGAATGATCTAAGTAGTTTCAGGTGATCTATAGTGTTAGACCATTTGCAGGTAAATATTTTGGTGGAATTTCTTCCTATATAATGTATAGATTGTCTAGCATTTTTTATTTTATCAGTTTGAGTTCTTTTGGTATCTGTATCCATATTGTTATGGGGGTTAGAAATTTATGTTTGGGTATGAATATTTATGTGCTATTTTTTGAAATTTTTACAATATTTCCAGCTTAGAAATTGGTCTGTAGTTTTTGTTCAACAGCAACCTGTTAGTATTTAAATTAGTAAATAGGTTTTATATTCCCTTATCACCCAGTTAATCATGTTTCCCAGCTGTGCACCTTAGCTGGCTCTGTCTAACGATGTGGGCTCCAAGTCCACTTACCTGCCTAATTTGGTTCTGTACAGACTTGCATCAACATGGATACTGTTATCTGATTGTGACCATTCTGTTTGCACCATATTGTAGGATAGTAAAAAAAAATGGTCCACACTTGTGAGGAAAAGCGTGTTTAATGTGCTTTGTTGAAACAGTAGTGAAATTAAGTGGGAATGTGAACTATAAGGACGCAAGTTTGACATATCACTGGTTCATAAACACTTAGATGATTTCCTCCACAAATTTTAATATGTCAGCTTGGAATGATTGATAAACCCCTAGTGTTTTCTGCTGTATAGCTTATCTTTTAATCAGTAATTGAAGTGAATCCACCAGAATTAACAGCAAATTTGCAGTTAACTACCCTACAAGAGACTGGACTCTTTTTGCCAATTTTGAGCAGATTTTTGCATAAATATATAGCTCAAATCAATGAACAAGCAAATTGAATTTAAAATCCAGCATACCTCATCACATGACATTTTGGTAATTTCACTATTCATGGATATTAATTAAGGCTACCAGCCATTGATTCAGTCCAGGAAATTTCTAATACAAACCTGGCTTCTTGAAATCTGATGGATTAATAAATATCCAGCGAAATAATCATTTTTTTTTTTTTTTTTTCAACAAGTCGGCCGTCTCCCACCAAGGCAGGGTGACCCAAAAAAGAAAGAAAATCCCCAAAAAGAAAATACTTTCATCATCATTCAACACTTTCACCACACTCGCACATTATCACTGTTTTTGCAGAGGTGCTCAGAATACAACAGTCTAGAAGCATACACATATAAAGATACACAACATATCCCTCCAAACTGCCAATATCCCAAACCCCTCCTTGAAAGTGCAGGCATTGTACTTCCCATTTCCAGGAAATAATATTTACCTGCAGTATATGATCCAGTTACAAGAGTAGGTTGATAATCTACATTGTTCTAGTCCCTATGCTGTGAATGAGCTGTTTGCCCTAACTTGGGGCTTAGTCCATGCAAAAAATGTGATCTATTTTTCCTTTGAAAATATGCTTATAAGTTGAATGGTAAAGCTTTTATTAAGGGAGTGGTCTTTTTAGTCTTATTTCATTCAGTCTCTGTTCCAACATGAAAAATGTTGCCAGGTACTTTTTATTAAATCAGTAAAATTTCTTATTAATGCTTAGCTTTGATCCTCTTACCTGTGTGAATGAGTTAAAGCCCATGTGCACCTCATTTGGCTTGATGAAATTTTGTCACTCGATATGTGATTACTCGGTGTAAAGTTCTGGGCAAAGTGTAGGTGTATTTAGCATTCTTTCCATAAGCGTCATGTATATGCTGTCATTTACACTTTTCTCACATGGATGAATTAGCAGTGAATAAAAATTAAGCTGTAATAAAGTATCCCTAATCTTAACTTCATGCTAGCTCTGCCTTTAGTAAATATTTGTTCCAAGTATATTACCTTTGAATTACAAGATTGTAATTTATATTTTCAGTAATTACAGTACTTCACTTTTGTCCCATGGATTCAACAAGCTTCATAGTTTTTGTCTGTGTAGATTTATTTAACTTAATTGTTAAGGTTCTCAAAGTTAGTAGTAATCTTGTAAGTGGAATTAAGTGTAGTACCAGGTCAAATAATTTGAAGACAATGTGCTTAATATTTGAGTCGTGCTTCCTTAATTCTGAAATTGTATACATATCATTTATTACTACGAGTCAAGCTCCCCCGATGGAAAGTGCCTGCTGTGTGTTAAAATATACAGTATATTAAAATCCCATTAGTTTTATTTTGTAAGCTCAGCTTTGTTTGTTCTTCAAGAAGCAGCAAAATGGCTAATATATTTAGAGTTTGTAATAAAAGCAATCCTAGAGTGAGTAATAAAGCAAGTTTTCCTTAATACCTGTTAGCACAGGTATTTATTTTATAGAAATTAGGATTAGTTAAAATAAAGGACTAGTGCAAACCTTGTACGCTTAGTGTTTTTAACCTGATTAGGAAAGTTAAGTATAAAGAATTACTGTTAGAACTATTGAGGTTTTGTACATGTCACAGGTTACACAGCTGATGTATTGAATGTGAAGCTGCACTACCAACTACAAACATACCACACATACAAGTGAAGTTTCTCGCCTTTCTGAGCATCTGCAATGGTTATTGACTCGTGTTGTTCGAAAATAGCATTTCTGCCCTGGGGCAAAGACTGGAGTCAACAAACGTTCCCTTCAAGGGATGTGCCTTGATGCTGGTGACTGGCTTTTGGTTCAAGGACTTGGAGCTGCTCTGTCTTTCTTTGGGCCAAACCTGATTACCTCCTATTTCCTAGAGCCCTTGTGGTTTAGCGCTTCTTTTTTATTACAATAATCCTATTTCCTAGGTGCTGTGTAACCTATATGGGTTTAGTGCTTCCCCATGAATATATATTATGTAAGTGAAACCTAAATGAACACTATTGGCATTACTCAGCACTGTATAACACAATTGGATTATATGCAGGGTTACTAAAAGTATTATTCAGAGAGCTGAAGAAGGGTTATGGTGGTTCAAACATTGAGAGGATGGAACAAAATATCGACTTGGAGGGTGTATAAATCTGTGGTGGAAGGAAGGTGGGGTAGGGGTCATCCTAGGAAAGGCTGTAGGGATGGGTAAAGGAGGTTTTATGAGCGAGAGGCTCGACTTCCAGCAAGTGTGCATTGAGTGAGCAAGATAGAAGTGAGTGGAGGCAAATGGTTTTCATGACTTGACATGCTGTTGGAGTGTAAGCACAGTAACATTTATGAGGGATTCAGGAAAATCAGTTATCCAGCATTGTCTTGGAGTTGGGAAGTACAGTGTCTGCATTCAGAAGGACGGGTGGAAATACGTTGAAGTTTTTTAATCGTAGTGTCTGTACTGTTCTGACAAGGCAGTGATGAAGCGAGTGATGATGAAAATGTTTCTTCTTTTTGGTCACCCTGCCTTGGTGGGAAATGGCCTGTGTGTTAAAAAAAAAAAAACTGTTGGGGATGAGAGGCACTTGGACTCAATATATGAAATGGCAGGTACCTCCAATTTCTTGGATCGAGAATCCTTTGGGATGTTGGAGAAAATAAGAAGTTAGTATTTAAGAATGGTCCATATAGTCGTGATAGCATTCACATTTTCGTAAGTAATTATTTTTTCCAATATATCCCACATGTGGGATATATTGAGCATCAAACCTTCAAATCACTTGAGGGATAGATAATTATTTATAGGTTATACACTGGTGGGTACTTCGTAAATGTGCATAATTATGAGATGGCATGTTACAGCTGGAGGTACCATAGTTAGACTATATCAACAGTTCATGGAAAGATATGTATAGCAAGAGCAGACTTTTTATTAAATACATTGTTTTACCTGCAAGAGGCTTTAGGAAGTACTAAATGAAGCCTCTTGCCAGTGAACCTTCGTATTTCTGCTTGTGCTATAATTTTTTTTTACTAGCCCCAGGTCCTTGCCACTTGCATAGACTTCTTACCCAGTCCCATATAAAATACTGGTTTGTATTGAGGCGTGAGTTGGCTTTCACATCCTTTCTATTTTATAGAGATTATTCATAGCTTGCCAATACAAGTGTGTGCAGAGTCACATCCAATATAGCTGAATAGTGTAAATCAGCTTAGTTATGTGACTTCAAAATCTCAATAACCACTGGCTGTGTACCACACTTACAAAATGAAAGCTAGTTGAATGATGGAGCATTTTCATGATGTTGAAGCTACATAAGCTAGCACAAGAAACTAGAACTGAAACATGAGAAACCAATCGATGAAGATTGAATTCTTGTGTTGTAGGAAGACGGGAAAGGCAGCAAGGAGCTGAAGAGGCTGCAGTTTTATGGTGCTGGGCCTAAGATGGCTGGCTTTGACAAGGCCTCACCAGAGGATACAGGAAAGACTCGTGGCAAGAAAGTTGATTATTCTGATCAGGACCCGGTAAGCTACATATAAGGTTTATCTTCCCTTAAATTATCAGAAACATTAGCTTTATAAAATACACATCTGATCGTGGTACTTTTAGGAAGTCTTAGTTTAACCAATTTTCCTTCGTTAAGCTGAGTTTTTTGTTCAGTTTAAACCTTTACATGCAAAAGGTTATAAACATCACACCAGTGGTTGAAAGATTTCACACCTCAGATTAAGAGGTTTGAAATTTAAGCTTGTAAAAATGATTAGTAGTCCCTTGTTTGTTGCAAGTATTGTCTCTTAAGTTGCTCATCTGTAGTTGCTTCTTTTGGATTTGACAGGTTCTTGTCTCATGAAATATTTTTTTTTTTTTTTGTTTCCCATCTCAAGCATGTTAAAATGTGTAGGATTGTTCTTTTGTTTCTTGGTTTCTAAAGATCTTCACACATTGGATTTTTGACACAAAACATGTTAAATTTTTCCATTTATTATAAAATGTACATTTCCTTTCATTACTTTTTTCTTTTTAAAAATGGATAGTCATGATATTGTAAAATGATACAAAAGCACTAATTAATTGCATAAGTGTTTTTGGCTCTTTAAGACGTGCTGTAATGCTGAAGACATAGATGTTATGAGAGTAGTTATGAAATGTAGCATTATTCTTAACCCTTAAACTGTCCAAACGTAGATCTACGTTTTTTCAACATTTGAAAGTATGTAAAAAAAACGTAGATTTTTTTTTTTTACATTTGAAAACGTGTAAAAAAACTTTGATCTACTTTTTTTTTTATGTAAAAACCCCGTAGATCTACTTTTGGAGCATTACGCATGTGAACGTAAATCTGTTTGGACAGTTTAAGGGTTAAAAAGCCACTTAAATTTTTCATTTTTTTTTTAATTAGGTACTATTATATTTTCCTTTTCTAAATAATTGATCTAGATATCATTCTTAGGAATAACTTCCTCTTCGTGGATGTATGTAAAGAAAAATCTTGAATATAAATAAAGCAAAATTATAAGTGTACATTACATATGAATAATGGTATTGTGGGTGGTCCATGCCTTGAGTGAGTGGTGTGGGTTTGATCTTCATTTTACCTGGAATGTTTCAGGCAAGGTTTTCTTTCATGACTTTACCTTGTGCATCTCTACTAACTGCAAACCTAGGTGAAAACTGATTGGTGGAATGTTTTCTGGGAGCAAAATTTACTTTTTTTTTTTTTTAAAGTGTGAGGAGGGGAAAATGTAAGATTATGTACTCCTGTAGCTTTTGTGAGACACGAATAGAATTTGAGAATGAATGATGAGACTGTCATGTAGTGAAGAATGGGTGTTGTCTGAGTTCCTTAAGAGCTCATTGACCTCATTCATGTGCTCTCATTGTTAAAAACTTTTCCTTCCTTCAGGAAAAAGGGAAACTCATTTTTCCACTGAAATGCTTCCATGGGAAACTGAAGCCAACTAATACACATGAAAATTGTTTTATGTTTCACATATTTTCCATGTTAATGCTCTTAATACTAGTGTTGTTATTTCTGTAGCTGGCAAAATACATCTGCCTAAATTGTGGCCGTGGGGATGCAGAAGACCAGATGTTACTCTGTGATGGCTGTGATGACTCGTATCACATCTTCTGCCTAGTGCCACCTCTTCTTGATATCCCTAAAGGTTAGTGTGGACATATCATTATTTTTATTAGCTATCCCTAGTGACAGTGCCAAGGGATGGCTTGGGGCTTTAGCCCTCTCCCCTAAAGCCACCAAAACAAGAATATAAATTTATCTGTATAAGTTGGTGTGCATCAGTGTGACTTTCCCAGTTACTTCTGCAGCAAGTCAACATAGATTTTTCCTGCCTGTGACTGACAAAAACTTAAGGACCGGTTGTAGTGATAGTAGAACATGTGATGTTGCAGTTAGGCATATCTGTAAATGAGAAAAAGAGTCAGGACTCAGAACATTGAAGATATCATTGATATTTTTCATTTGAATTGTAACAGAAGAAGCACACTGCTGTAACTTTTCAGTTACCATAAGCCATTCATTTAAGAGTGAAGTACACATATTATGTTCTTGCTATATATTATTGCATTAATACGGAGTTAGTAGATGGGAAGATGGAGATTTTGAGTAGATGGCAAGAATATTTTGAGGAACTTTTAAATGTCAACAAAGAAAGGGAAGCAGTAATTTCATGCACTGGCCAGGGAAGTATACCATCTTTTAGGAGTGAAGAAGAACAGGATGTGAGTGGGGGAGGTGCGTGAGGCATTACGTAGAATGAAAGGGGGTAAAGCAGCTGGAACTGATGGGATCATGACAGAAATGTTAAAAGCAGGGGGGGATAGTGTTGGAGTGGTTGGTACTTTTGTTCAATAAATGTATGAAAGAGGGGAAGGTACCTAGGGATTGGCAGAGAGCATGTATAGTCCCTTTATATAAAGAGAAGGGGGACAAAAGATATTGTAAAAATTATAGTTTACCGAGTATACCCAGGGCCGGATTAAGAAGTCTCCGGGCCCTAGGCTATTCAGATTGGCGGGCCCCTTTGAGTTACGGGTAAGCGAAGCGACCCCTTCCAGCTTGGGGGGGGTCGGTGTGAGCCTGTTTAAGGTCTAATTAAATACATTCTGGCTATTTAGATTAAATTTAATAGGGAAAGTACATCAAGACAACCAAAACCATTTACCAACAGCCATTATAACTATCTTGTTAAATCAAAACCATTTACCAACAGCCATTATAACTATCTTGTTAAATCATGCATTTTAAAGAGAATAAACTCAAGACAGCATAGTATTACTAGATTAGGCTATTAAAGTAGTGACATCATGTACCTATTATATTCAGCATAACCACTACAGCACTATTATTCCCTTTATAAATCACTGACCATTATTGTTATCATTGCATCATGCGTAAGACTATCAAATCATATAAACTCAAGAAAGTAAAGAATTGTTTATATTCACAGGCACTTCTTAAATAAACTTTTTTCTGGATTTCATATTGGCAAAATCATCAATTATATTCTGAAAATCAATATTTCTTGTTAGATCAGACTCAATGGTCAACAACGCTAGGTTACACAATTTGTCTTGGCTCATTGCTGAACGGAGCTGGTTTTTCACTCTTTTCAAAACAGAAAATGAACGTGCTCCTTCACAGTTAGTAGCTGGAAGTGTTAGGTAAAGGCGATACACTATGTCAAATTTAGGGAAGGTTTCTGAGATACCTGCATTTCTTAAATGTTTCAGAGCAGCTGAGGGTGCACATTTTTCAGGTGGAGCTTTAATCTGATTCATATACCCAGAAAAATGAACTATTTCTTCAACAAATGTGTCCTGAACATCTGCTGAAAGGTGTTGTTGCAACTTTAATGCAGCTTCTCTCAATTCTGCAAGTGGGTTGATTTGCTTGATACGGGCTTGCAATCCATTATATTTACCCGACATGTTACTTGCATTGTCGTAGCTCTGGCCACGGCAATCCATAATAGAGAGATCATGTTCAAGCAGAGTATCCAGTAATACATTCATCATTGTTTCTCCATCATGGCCTGAAAGAGGAATGAATTTTATAAAGCGCTCTACAGGCTTACCACTGGAGTCGACGAAGCGAACAATGAATGTCAATTGATCTGTATGTGAAATATCGGGTGTTGAATCTACACTTATTGCGAAGTATTTTGCAGTTTTCACAGCTGCTATGATGTTATTGAGGGCCTTCTTAGTCATCAGTTCAATAAATTCATTGCATATAGTAGATGACATGTAAGATAGTGCCTCTTCCTGCATTCCCAAGGCGTGACACATGATTTGCTAAGAATGGATCGAATTGCGCTAACAGTTCTATGATCCCTGGGAAATTGCCATTGTTTTCCTACCCAAAAACCTCATTTTCTCCACGGAAAGCAAGTCCTCTTAAAGCTAAGAATTTTACAACAGCAACAACTCTTTCTAGAACTTTTCTCCAATAAGTGCGCTCTTTTTCAGTTTGATTTTCCAAATGAGAATCCAGTAAGCCTTTTTTCTGTGCACGAAATACACTGGCTAAAATGCAGCTCCTGTGAGTGGTGCTGTTTTCATGTTCCTCGAAACGCTTGGAATTTTTCCAGTCATTGAACCCCTGTGTGAAGGTATTTTCTTTGGTAGAAAATAGCTTGCATGCTGAACAGTACACTTTTCCTTAGCTTTCAGAGTATACCATCCATGATCTTTTCACAGTTTCTGAATTTGCAAGCTTCCTATAAAACATAGATGACTTTAAACAACGACGACTTCCATCATCATAAATCCTTGCTGATTTCCTAAAGTCAATGTTCAGAGTTTGACTGAAGTTTTCTGCAATGAAAGCATTACGTAGAGAATCTGGGATTACATTTGGCCATGAGGCAGGATCTTTTAAGACAAATCCTGTGGCTGAAATGTCCGTTGAGACATTGAGAGAAGACACAAAAGAAGTGGATGCTGGCTGAGAAATAATGGAGGGAGGGCTTCCTGTATGATCTGACGTATCTGCAGATTCAACTGTACTGGTAACATCAGAAACTGTTTTCGTGAGTATGTCTGTGATCTTTCTGCAGCTTCCTACATCTTTCTTTTTCTGTTCTTCTTCTTGAATTTTCTTTTCTTTTCTGTGACCCACTCGCATAAGAAAGTCCAACATCACTTTCAGGAGATGCCATAATGAGGATGTATCACTGTCTGTAATCATGCAAATACAAATTTTTCATTATCAATTATTATTAATTTTTAATTATTATTAAAAATTTTTTTCTGTCAATTGGGGGATATGGCCCTTGTAGTTGTAGCCCCCTTTCCTCTGGCTCCGCATCTAAAAATTCAAAACATTACCAGAAAGGAGTCATATACAGAAATTTTACCATAGATTAGGTTAGTGATTTGGGCTACGAATATTTTACTAATTCATCCTCCTTTATCTCCAATTTACTTAAACAGAAATCATACTGAGTCCAAGAACAATGCACAATGGTATTTATATTACCATTTTCATAACTAAATTAATCATTATGTTTTGCATGATATATGGCCTACCACCATAGATAAGAACATGAGAATTAAAGAATGCAGGGACAATTTTCAGTTTCACCCAACCAACGATTTTCTGATGTGGCTTATGTGTTTCTGGGGAAATATGTAGTAAATTAATTGATGTTCTACATCACTTCCTCGCAACTTGAAAACTAAGCATTTGCGACGGAAAATGATGTAGAACATAAATCAATTGAGATCTGTTATTGAAATAATAAAGACTTAAAGACAGGACAAAGTGCTTTTAAAACCTACAAACAGAAGTCAGTTTGCATTTTTAGGTTTTTCTTTATAGTATTTTTACCAAAAATGCGTCTTTACTGGTCCATGCGTCTTTACTGGTCAAGTAACCCTATCAGGTACCTCCCTTAACATTTAGAGGCGAAAACAAGCATTTATCCATACACATCAATGTCTATCAACAACACTTCAGTTAATTTGTCACAGTACAAGTCTAGATAACGTGTAATTACTACAGAAAATTGGAGAGGAATCTCCCATACTCGCCCATTAGCGGGAAAACACAGCTGTTCTGATGTAAACGAAGGCATGTTGAGTGTTGCCATCTATGGTTAGGTTTATTTATTTTTATTTTATTTTATTTCATTATTTATTTTTGTTTTGATTAATTTTTAAAAATCAATTTTACTCTCCAAACACTTGAACTTTTTAGGTAGGGACCCCTTTGCACTTGCACCATGTGCGCAGTCTTGGATGAGCCCCTGAACCCCTTGGACCGCGGGGCCCCCCAAATGCGCGGGGCCCTAGGCAAATGCCTCGTTTGCCTATGCGGTAATCCGGCCCTGAGTATACCAGGAAAAATGTACGGTAGGATTATAATTGAAAGACGTAGAGGTAAGACAGAACGTAGGATTGCAGATGAGCAAGGTTGTTTCAGAGTGGGTAGGGGATGTGTAGATCGTGTTTACATTGTGGCATATATGTGAACAGTATTTAACCCTTTCAGGGTCCAAGGCCAAAATCTGAAGTAGTGCCCCAGTGTCCAAGAATTTTCAAAAAAAAAAATTTTTATTTTTTCTTATGAAATGGTAGAGAATCTTTTTGTGAATGTAATAAAACAAAAAGTACGAAATTTGATGGAAAATTGACGAAATTATGCTCTCGTGAATTTTGATGTGTCAGCGATATTTACGAATCGGTGATTTTGCCGACTTTGACTTCTATTTTAGGCCAATTACATTATTCCAGTCAACCAAATTCTTAGCTATTTCACTAGTATCACTTCTATTCTATCGATTGAGCACAAGAAATCGCCAAGTCAACTGTTTCAACTACAAAATAGTGACCGGATTGGTAATTTGGCCAATTTAACACAAAGTTCAAAATATTCCAATTTCAAAATAGGGTCCAGAATAAACAATGTAGGTATTCCTGGCACTAAACTAAAAATTTCCTCTGTTCATTAGTTATGTTTTGAGGCATTACAAATAAATTCCATTTTGATTTTTTATTCACATAATGAATTTTTATTCACACCAAAAAATAGAAGATTTACTGTTATGCAATATTGTAATAATTGTATAAATATCATCACCACATTTGTGAATGTATATTAGACCCACCAGCTGGCGTGTATTAGATGTGTGAGGTCGTTTGTTTACTCCTGAACATCGGCAAAAATTTAACATTTCCGCCACTTTGAGCTCAGTTTCAAGCCATTTCCAGTGCTAAAACCAATCAAAATTATCTCTATTTCTGTAATATATCTTCCATACTATCAAATGAGACCAAGAAATCACAAATACAACTATAAAAAACATACGAAAAACACTTCAAAGTCGCTGTTTTAATCGAAAATCACGGTCTCAGTTTTTCTCTCTCATTATACACAGTGTGCTGCAGGATTTGTTTTATATGGTGCACACTTACCACATAGATGTATTCTCTCATATCTAGGCCCAAATTTACCACTCACAGTATCAGAGTGAGCTGAGCTCATGACGTAGATCTACGGTTTGGACCCTGAACGTAACGCCGTAGATCTACGGGACGGACCCTGAAAGGGTTAAAGGTAGGGAAGTTTTTATTGCATTTATGGATTTAGAAAAGGCATATGATAGTGGATAGGGGAGCAATGTGGCAGATGTTGCAAATATATGGAATAGGTGGTAAGTTACTAAATGCTGTAAAGAGTTTTTATGAGGATAGTGAGGCTCATGTTAGGGTGTGTAGAAGAGAGGGAGACTACTTCCCAGTAAAAGTAGGTCTTAGACAGGGAAGTGTAATGTCACCATGGTTGTTTAATATATTTATAGATGGGGTTGTAAAAGAAGTAAATGCTAGGGTGTTCGGGAGAGGGGTGGGATTAAATTATGGGGAATCAAATACAAAATGGGAATTGACACAGTTGCTTTTTGCTGATAATACTGTGCTCATGGGAGATTCCAAAGAAAAATTGCAAAGGTTAGTGGATGAGTTTGGGAGTGTGTGTAAAGGTAGAAAGTTGAAAGTGAACATAGAAAAGAGTAAGGTGATGAGGGTATCAAATGATTTTGATAAAGAAAAATTGGATATCAAATTGGGAAGGTGAAGTATGGAAGAAGTGAATGTTTTCAGAGTTTACGTGTCGGCAGGATGGATTTATGAAGGATGAGGTTAATCATAGAATTGATGAGGGAAAAAAGGTGAGTGGTGCATTGAGGTATATTTGGAGAAAAAAAGTTATCTATGGAGGCAAAGAAGGGAATGTATGAAAGTACAGTAGTACCAACACTCTTATATGGGTGTGAAGCTTGGGTTGTGAATGCAGCAGCGAGGAGGCGGTTGGAGGCAGTGGAGATGTCCTGTCTAAGGGCAATGTGTGGTGTAAATATTATGCAGAAAATTCGGAGTGTGGAAATTAGGAGAAGGTGTGGAGTTAATAAAGTATTAGTCAGAGGGCTGAAGAGGGGTTGTTGAGGTGGTTTGGTCATTTAGAGAGAATGGTTCAAAGTAGAATGACATGGAGAGCGTATAAATACGTAGGAGAAGGAAGGCGGGGTAGGGGTCGTCCTTGAAAAGGTTGGAGGGAGGGGGTAAAGAAGGTTTTTGTGGGGGAAGGGCTTGGACTTCCAGCAAGCGTGCGTGAGCATGTTAGATAGGAGTAAATGGAGACAAATGGTATTTGGGACCTGACGATCTGTTGGAGTGTGAGCAGGGTAATATTTAGTGAAGGGATTCAGGGAAACCGGTTAATTTTATATAGCCGGACTTGAGTCCTGGAAATGGGAATTACAATGCCTGCACTCTAAAGGAGGGGTTTGGGATATTGGCAGCTTGGAAGGATATGTTGTGTATCTTTATAGGTATATGCTTCTAAGCTGTTGTGTTCTGAGCACCTCTGCAAAAACAGTGATTATGTGTGAGTGAGGTGAAAGTGTTGAATGATGATGAAAGTATTTTTTTTTTTGGGGATTTTCTTTCTTTTTGGGTCACCCTGCCTCGGTGGGAGACGGCCGACTTGTTGAAAAAAAAAAAAGGAAATTATTTAAGCATAATACACGCTTCCAGGATGTGATGTTCTGCTAATATTTGAGAGCTGGAAGACTGCATAGCACAAGCAAAATAGAATTTTATTGGTTTGAGTATTATAAACACCAAAAAAATTACCCAAAAGCTTTCACATTGATTTTCTACAGTATCACTTATGATTGCTGTGTCCCTTCTGATGTTAATTTACTGTCATATCTGTTTAATCTTTCAACAAACCAGCTGTATCCCACCAAAGCAGGGTGGCCCAACAAGAACGAACAAAAGTTTCTCTTTTTAACTTTAGTAATGTATACAGGAGAAGAGGTTACTAGCCCCTTGCTCCCGGCATGTTAATCACCTCTTATGACATGCATGGCTTATGGAGGAAGAATTCTGTTCTGCTTCCCCATGGAGACGGAATAAACAAGAACAAGGACTAGTAAGAAAATAGAAGAAAACTCAGCAGGGTGTATGTATATATACTTGTACATGAATGTGTAGTGTGACCTAAGTGTAAGTAGATGTAGCAAGACATACCTGAAATCTTGCATGTTTATGAGACAGAAAAAAGACACCAGCAATGTAAACAATTACAGGCTTCCATTTTACACTCACCTGACAGGACGGTAGTACCTCCCTGGGCGGTTGTTGTCCCACTTGCAAATGGATCTAATTTCAGTGTTCAGTAATAGATGTGTCCAAACAATGGCGTGGCCACATGTCTTGTACTGTATGTGGCAACCATGATGAACAGATACCCATTAATAAGTTGAATATTCCTCTAATAAATGTTTTATAAAATCAGTTACCAATGAGAAGTGAAATTATGCTAATTTTTATTTTGTAATTATCTAAAATGCAGACAAGTTGATAAATTAGACACGTGGAACATCTAGGTGTGTGTGGGTATCTGAGGGACTGATTAACTCGTCTTCTACTGTCTTTTGTATACAGTTTTGCAAGGCTGAGGGACTTATCATTGCCTTCTATAATAGTGTTCAGTTTCTCCATGTATTGTATTGATAACGCCAATGGATGGTGAAGCATCTACAAAACAGATATCCAAATGTTGTGTGTGTGCTTAGGGGGTGGGGGGGTAAATCATCATGATAATTTTTCTTAGCCAATTGTGGTAATCAAGTATCAGTTGTACCAGTAATGTATTTACAGATTATACCATGTATGATAACAGCAAATTCTTGTTTACTTGCTTCACTATAGTACATAACCAAATTCTGTAAGCATAATTGCTTAAATTTGCAGGTGATTGGCGGTGTCCAAAGTGTGTTGCAGTTGAAGTAAGTAAACCGGTGGAGGCATTTGGATTTGAGCAAGCCCAAAAAGAATACACTTTACAGTCCTTTGGAGAAATGGCAGACAAGTTCAAACAAGATTACTTCAATATGCCAGTCCATGTAAGTGGTTTCTTAGGAAATTGAACACTGGGCACATTTTTTCTTAGCTTCACTAAAGGATCGTTTTTTTTTTTTTGGGGGGGGGGGGATGCCATATTATTTTGTTGAATTTTACCCCTAAACCTTCTTACCAAGTTGTAAGTTTATGTTCTCCCACTACTCGTTATCTTTCCTCCTAACTATCATATTACTTCATCAGCTATTTATGGAATTTTTTTTCTCAGTGCTTCCTCTTCATTCAGAATTTCTGCTGCTGTTTCATCTTCTGCTAAATTTGCTTCATCACAACTTCTGCTGCTAAATCTACTTTGTCTTCATACATAATTACTGCTGCTAATTCTTACTCTGTTGCTGCATTATTTCTTTATTCTTGTATTTGCTCACTTCAGTGATACATAAGAGATTTCCTTGTGTGTGATTTTAATTTCCTCCTGCCAAACTATTTTATGTTCTAGTCAGCTAAATTTGAATGATTTACTTAGCTGGAAACTTGAGGTGAAATTAAAGTTCTGTAAATATGTTGGAATATCTACATTGTCCTCCTATAGAATGAGCACAACAGGATTTTTTGTTACATTTAATATTAATCATTGTAATGTACTTAACCTTTTCACTGTCGAGAGCCTGGATCACAAACCTGCTCTGTGTTGATTTTTTTTTTTTTTTTTTTTTTTTTTTTTTCTTCAACAAGTCGGCAGTCTCCCACCGAGGCAGGGTGACCCAAAAAAGAAAGAAAATTCCCAAAAAGAAAATACTTTCATCATTATTCAACACTTTCACCACACTCACACATTATCACTGCTTTTGCAGAGGTGCTCAGAATACAACAGTTTAGAAGCATATACGTATTAAGATACACAACATATCCCTCCAAACTGCCAATATCCCTAACCCCTCCTTTAAAGTGCAGGCATTGTACTTCCCATTTCCAGGACTCAAGTCCGACTATATGAAAATAACCGGTTTCCCTGAATCCCTTCACTAAATATTACCCTGCTCACACTCCAACAGATTGTCAGGTCCCAAGTATCATTCGCCTCCATTCACTCCTATCTAATACGCTCATGCATGCTTGCTGGAAGTCCAAGCCCCTAGCCCACAAAACCTCCTTTACCCCCTCTTTCCTACCCTTTCGAGGACGACCCCTACCCCTCCTTCCTTCCCCTATAGATTTATATGCTTTCCATGTCATTCTACTTTGATCCATTCTCTCTAAATGACCATACCACCTCAACAACCCTCTTCTGCCCTCTGACTAATGCTTTTATTAACTCCACACCTTCTCCTAATTTCCACACTCCGAATTTTCTGCATAATATTTACACCACACATTGCCCTTAGACAGGACATCTCCACTGCCTCCAACCGTCTCCTCGCTGCTGCATTTACCACCCAAGCTTCACATCCATATAAGAGTGTTGGTACTACTATACTTTCATACATTCCCTTCTTTGCCTCCATAGATAACGTTTTTTGACTCCACATATACCTCAACGCACCATTCACCTTTTTTCCCTCATCAATTCTATGATTAACCTCATCCTTCATAAATCCATCCGCCGACACGTCAACTCCCAAGTATCTGAAAACATTCACTTCCAAAATCTTAAGAATGTTTTTCTGATTGTTATAAAAGAAAAAAAATTTGCAATTAGTACTTACTAAGATATAGAAGCGTCAAATTGACAAAGTGAACCGCTTACGGCAACATCGGCGACTGCTTCTCACTTGGTAATATTAATTTTACTTTTTTTATTATTATTATTAACACACTGGCCGATTCCCACCAAGGCAGGGTGGCCCGAAAAAGAAAAACTTTCACCAACATTCACTCCATCACTGTCTTGCCAGAAGGGTGCTTTTCACAGTTTTTAAACTGCAACATTAACACCCCTCCTATTTTACTTTTATTCTATTTTTTCTTTTCTAATACTGTATTTTATTTTTTCAAGTAACTTTTTGTGGCATGTGAAACCAATATAATGCATAATGTATATATGTATATCCACTCATTGTATGCAACACAATAACCACACAAATATTATCATCATATTGTTTACAAAACTTGTTAACACAAACCCACACTGCCTTCCCTACCACCCATGCTGCCTTCCTCACCAACCATGCTGGCTTCCCCACCAACCATGCTGTCTTTCCCACCACCCACATGGAGATAAGTTTTGTAGTCTGATTTTTCTTTTGGGTTATCCTAGGTTCTCTACACATATGCTGCTATGTTGTTTACACAAACCCACACTGCCTTCCCCACCACCCACGCTGTCTTTCCCACCACTCACATGGAAATAAGTCACTTTGTCTGACTTAGGTTCTCCTAGGTTCTCCATACATATGCTGATATGTATGATAATCTATGTAAAGTAAAAGGACACAAGTGCAACTAATGTGACATTTATTGTGGCAACGTTTCGCTCTCCAGGAGCTTTATCAAGCCATTACAAACGATACAAGGACACAGAGGGTATATAAAGGCTCAGAGTGAGGTGCAATGCTAGTGAGGTAACATTTCGATGTTCACTAGTGGTGGTGGTAGTAGTAGTAGTAGTAGTGGTAGTGACAAAAGTAATACAATATGGTAGAGCAATTAATTCGTACATGAGTAAAAGGATATAAAAGCTATTACTTGGGTAACATAAAAATAGGTTGGACAAATATAGACTGGAAAGAGGCAGCTTGTTTCAGTGTTCACTCTCTGTAATGTGCTTTGTGTAGTGTAACAGGAGAGACTATGTGATGGCAGGGTTTACTGTTTTCAGTACTGATCGCTGTTTCTAATACAATTAAACAAAACAACGGCAGCTTCACCATCTCCGATGTCTTAGCAAGAATCCTCCTGAAAACAGTAAACCCTGCCATCACATAGTCTCTCCTGTTATACTACACAAAGCACATTACAGAGAGTGAACACTGAAACAAGCTGCCTCTTTCCAGTCTATATTTGTCCAACCTATTTTTATGTTACCCAAGTAATAGCTTTTATATCCTTTTACTCGTGTACGAATTAATTGCTCTACCATATTGCTGCTGCTGCTGCTGTGCTGCTGCTGCTGCGCTGCGCTGCTGCTGCTGCTGTTGCGCTGCTGCTGCTTGCTGCTGCTGCTGCTGCTGCTGCTGCTGCTGCTGCCTGCTGCTGCTGCTGCTGCTGCTGCTGCTGCTGCTGGCTGCTGCTGCTGCTGCTTGCTGCTGCTGTGCTGCTGCTGCTGCTGCTGCTGCTGCTGCTGCTGCTGCTGCTGCTGCTGCTGCTGCTGCTGCTGCTGCTGCTGCTGCTGCTGCTGCTGCTGCTGCTGCTGCTGCTGCTGCTGCTTGTGCTGCTGCTGCTGCTGCTGCTGCTGCTGCTGCTGCTGCTGCTGCTGCTGCTGCTGCTGCTGCTGCTGCTGCTGCTGCTGCTGCTGCTGCTGCTGCTGCTGCTGCTGCTGCTGCTGCTGCTGCTGCTGCTGCTGCTGCTGCTCTGAGCTGCTGCTGCTGCTGCTCTGCTGCTTGCTTGCTGCTGCTGCTGCTGGCTGCTGCTGCTGCTGCTGCTGCTGTGCTGCTGCTGCTGCTGCTGCTGCTGCTGCTGCTGCTGCTGCTGCTGCTGCTGCTGCTGCTGCTGCTGCTGCTGCTGCTGCTGCTGCTGCTGCTGCTCTGCTGCTCTCTGCTATGCTCTCTGCTGACTGACTGCTACTACCCCTACTCGCTATGTACCCTGCTGCTTGATATGTCTGTGCTTGCTTGTAAGCTTGACTAGTCTGACTGCCTAGTACTACGTTGACTTGTGTCTTATTACTTTACATATGTCGTAATCTACCAACTATACTATGATAATCTATGTACTACTTGTGTTACCTATACTCGTCTGTATTCGTTTGTATGGCTTGATAAAGCTCCTGGAGAGCGAAACGTTGCCACAATAAATGTCACACTAGTTGCACTTGTGTCCTTTTACTTTACATATTGTCGGTAATTCTACCAACTTTATTACTATGATAATCTATGTAACTGTATTTGTGTATACCTGAATAAACTTACAGTACTTATTCTTTGAGTCATGGGAAAATATGAGTTTCCTCTTTCGCTGTGGTACAACTGAACATGATCAAGACAGCCCGTCACCAGAGGTGAAAGGTTGATGGTCGTCTGGGTTTTCAGCACTATTTCTGGCATGCTGGGCATTGCTTTCGGTCAGAAACTTCTCAAAACCATGAAATTCATCTTCACTGACACTCCCATCTGTGTTAGAACTATCACTTGTGAAGGGAAAAGTCCCAGTTCATCAGGAAGTGAGGCATTCTTTAATGCTGGGCATGGTGAACAAGGTGATTTTTGCACTCCCACAGTGCACTGCGGCCTCTCTGATTTTTTTTTATACTGTGTACATTGAGCACACAGATCCATTCTCTCATATGTAGACCAACCAGATTTGAAGGCGCTAGAATTTTGGCATTGTATTACAGGACTGATCAGACTGGCTTGCAAGCCATAATATTACGGGACCGACAGTGAAAGGGTTAAATTACTGAATTTAAAGAGAAGAAAAGCTTTTGTTTCTTCTTTTTCAGGTCACCCTACCTTCGTGGGAGATGGCCAATGTACAAAAAAAAAAAATTAAATAACTGCTGTAAAAGGGTGCAGGCTGACTATGATTAATTTACTTAAGATTAATTTTACATTGTTAAATCTTCACTGTATTAATCCCCTTTTCTCTTCCCTCAGTTAATACCTACAGAAATGGCAGAGCGGGAGTTTTGGCGCATTGTTTCTTCAATAGATGAGGATGTGACTGTAGAATACGGTGCAGATCTCCACACAATGGATCATGGCTCTGGGTTCCCCACAAAGAGTTCAAAGAACTTGATGCCAGCTGATCAGGTAATTTTTAAATGTCTGAGAATAATCTTCTGTATTGAATAATTCTGTATTAAATAACCGCTTCCTCAACCACTGCCTCTACCACTCCAGTTACACTCAATCTACTAGCACCAAACAGTGAATTATTGTGAAATGTTTGGAAGAGCACAGAGACTAATGCTCACTCCAGCATAAACAAAGCCACACTGATGATGTGTCAACCACTCCCTCGTATTTTTGTACAATTTCCTTCTTCAATTCCTCGGTGGGAGACGACCGACTTGTTGAAAAAAAAAAAAATTATTATTATTATTATTACTATTGTTATTATTAGCAGTAGCAGAAATGTTTGATTCTTTGCTGTGTTCAAGAGTAAACACATGTCACTGTCCAATACTTGTCCGAATAGCCATTCCAATGTGCAGTCATGAATGAGTTTACATTATTTATACTGTAGTTTAATAGCAAATAATGAACAAACAAACACACACCACACAGTGGTGGGAGGCCTGGCTGCCAGTTGCGGGGGTCGGAGGGAGGGTAGTAGGGAGTCGCAGTGGTTGAGGAAGTGATGGAGGCAGCAGTGGAGGCAGTGGTATTTAATAATATACATGTTGTTAAACCATAACGTGTATGTATTTAGTACAATTTACGACGTTTTCATGTATTTTATGATTGTTCATGGTTCAACAAGTTAAGGAAGCAGTATTGTATAATATTTCCCTACAATATATTGGGGCACCAAACATTCGCAGTTTTTCAACATTCGCGAGGCTCTTGATCCCCTAACCCACGTGAATGTTGAGGGAGACCTGTATACTCAAATTTTTTTTGGAGTTTTGTGACCAATAAAATTAAGAAAAAGCTAGGTATATCATGAATACATAAAATATATGTAGATATTAGTCTGTTTTATTGTTTACTATCAAAAATATACACAAATCTATTATAAAAAGATGAAAATTTATCAAATCTTGCACACACAAACACAGATCATACATGTTCTATTTGCAGTCAAGCAAAATGTAAACAAACATAAAGATACAATAATGTACTATGTTATCCATGGAGGCAAAGAAGGGAATGTATGAGTATAGTGGTACTAATACACTTGTTTGATTGTGATACATGGGCTGTGAATGCTGCAGTGAGGAGGCAGCTAGGGGCAGTGGAGATGTCCTGTGTAAGGGCAATGTGTGGTGTAAATATTATGCAGAGAATTTGTAGTGTGAAAATTAGTAGATGTCGAGTTACAAAAAAAAAAAAAGTATTATTCAAAGGGCTGAAGAAGGGTTGTTGAGTTGGTTTGGTCAATGATCTACAAATTTTTACCAGTACAGTGGTACCTCGGGATTCGAACTTAATTCGTTCCAGAAGGCTGTTCGATTGCCAATACTGAACAAATTCGTTCCTATAAGGAATAAATTAAATTAATCCGTTTCAGACCACCAAAAATACACTTGCAAGGACACTTACAAAAATACACTTACATAATTGTTTGAGTTAAGAGCTGTTCGTATGACGAGGTACCACTGTACTTTTGCTCCAAAACTGACTAAACAACCTAGCCTAATCATTCTCAAATTAATTAAAATTAACGCTTTCTGTCTTTCTTAGGCCAGCCTAAATTTAGCTACATAAGCAGGTTGGTAGACAACAACCATCCAATGTAGACCCATTTCATATTGAAGATTTCCTCATCAGTTGAGACAATTTAGTTTTTCCTCACAGCAATCTCTGCCTTGGTCTGACTTGCATTTCCGAGGATCCAGCCATTCTTGGACCATTGACTTTGTCAATGGTCCAAGTCAGACCGAAACGTCGTTGTAAGCTTCTCTCTTTTATGTGCGGGTTATTTGTGTACCAGTCACATTGCGTTTGCCAGTGAGACTTCCCTGTTAGTAAACCTGACACTTTCACCATTCTGGTTTTGACATCACTCTCTTTGGGGATCACATTGAAGGAAATACTGTAATGACCTTTAAGAGAAAGGAAACCTACAATCTCTACCATTCCATATTCTGAGAGGGCTAATTTCTTTTCCAGAAGTTTTGTTGCACATTTTCCATTGTCACACATGGAAGCTTCATATGGAAGTTTTCAGTTTTTAGTCGAGTGTTGAAATAATCTGGACATTGATAAATTAAACGTAACCTTTCCGGAACAGTTTGTATTATCTACAAATTTCCTAGTTTGATGTTTTTGTCTATTTTCTTCAGTAATGCAAATATGTTAGTCTGACTCAGTCTACATTTTGGAGTCCAGTTCCGAGCACAGAATGATTAACCTTACTTCACACAGGGCTGTATTACGAAATCCCTTGTTCAATTTTGACCTACATGTTAGGTTTAGTTTCCTTCCATCATAAAGCCCTGACTCAGTATCGAAGTGTATAAGTAAAGAGTTCCTGTAGAACCCTCTACTTATACACATTGATGCTGTGGTAACATTACACTTAACTTCTCCAGTATTTTGCTTCTGAATAGTATTGCTCTGTTTATTTTGTTGAAGGTCATTTTCATGGTCCTTTCAAAACCATTCCTAATTTTCATGTTTGTTTATGAATTTAAATAGCCTTCATTTTGTGTAGGATTGTTTTTGTCCCATAAATACATTATATTTATTTGCTTAATTTTTTTGTCAGGAATATGCAATTAGTGGCTGGAACCTCAACAACTTGCCAGTATTGGAGGGGTCTGTCCTTGGGCACATTAACTGTGACATCTCTGGTATGAAAGTCCCCTGGATGTATGTTGGAATGTGCTTCTCAACTTTCTGTTGGCATAATGAAGATCACTGGAGTTACTCTATCAATTATTTGCACTGGTAAGTTGATTAGTAGTTTCAAAGATTATCCTATTCTTGTTCATTTTAATTAGTTTGCTTTATTGCTGATAGCAGTCTGTCTAGTAACTTGTTACTGTTTCCACTTCTTACACAATTCTTCTTAATACTCACACTATATACATGCTTTATGATTATTAACTGAATGGCTTTTTAATTTTTTCAACACACCAGCCATCTCCTACCGAGGCATGGTGACACAAAAACAAAAAATGTCCTCACCATGATTCACTCTATCACTGTCTCACCAGAAATGCATTGATACTACAGTTTAGATGCCCCCCAAACTGCAAATATCCCCACCCCTCCAGAGTACAGGCACTGTACTTCCCACCTCCAGGACTTAATCCAACTAACTGGTTTCTCTGAATCATTTTACAAATATTTCCTAGCTCACATTTCCACTCCTATCTAACATGCTCACATACTCATGCTAGATTCCAAGCCCCTAATGCACAAAGCTTCCTTTACCCCTCCCTCCAACCTTTCTTAGGGCGATCCCTACCCAGCCTTCCCTCCACTACATTTTTATATGCCCTCCAAGTCATCCTATTTTGCTCCATCCTCTCTAAATGTCCAAACAACCTCTACAGCCTCTCCTCAGCCCTCTGGATAAAGCTGTTAATAACCAGCTTCCTAATCTCCAAGCTATGAATTCTCTGCATAATATATACACCATACATTTCCTTCAGGCACAACTCCACTGCCTCCAGCCTCCTCTTTGCTGTAACATTTCACAACTTACGTTTCACACCCATAAAAAGAGTGCTAGTATATTATAAAACATTTAGAGGGGCATCTGAACTGTGGTATCAATGTGGCTCTGGCAAGACAGTGATAGAGTGAATGATAGTGAGGGTGTTTTCTCCTCTTTTGGGTCACCCTGGTTTGGTGGGAGATGACTAATGTGTGTAAAAACAAAAAATTGTTAAGCCATTCTGTTAATAATCCATATCTTGGAGAGGCTCATAATCATAATTTTTGTATTAGTTTCACTATATAATAGTCATTCTTGATCAGTTTCCTTGCATTAATTGCATGTAACTGGCTCACCTTACTAAATTTATTTAGTTTCTGTGGTAAAACTAAATAACCTGTCATATTTACAGGGGAGAGCCCAAGACTTGGTATGGGGTGCCGGGAGCACAAGCTGAGCTCTTTGAGTCTGCCATGAAAAAAGCTGCACCAGAGTTGTTCCAGGCACAACCAGATCTGCTTCATCAGCTAGTCACTATTATGAACCCAAATATTTTAATGAAAGCAGGTTGGTGCACAATGATTGTCGAAGTTTTCGTTTTAATATTCTTTGCCTTCGATATTATCCATACTTTAGTATTTTCACTTCATTCAACAAACCAGCCATATCCCACTGAGGCAGGGTGGCCCAAAACGAAAGTTTCTCTTTTTAACTTTAGTAGTGTATACAGGAGGAGGAGTTGTGTGTGATGAATGGTTTTGAAAACCGACAAGTTGAAGAATTGAGACACTTGTGCAATATACGGGAATCTTTTATTGAAAAAACGTTTCGCTACGCAGTTGCTTCATCAGTCTATACAATCTTTGGACGAAGACCTACTTAGACTAGTGGATGGTTCCACTATGGCCCCGCCGCCTCCTGCTGCGCCTCACCTGGCTACAGTATATAAGCCACTGCTATGGCCCTGTGCTGTACTTTTTACAAGATTGATGGACTGATCACATTGACTCCAGGCTGAGGGACTGATTACCTCAAACTACTCCTCTCCTTATGCCTTCCTGCTTTGTATAGACTGATGAAGCCACTGTGTGACAAAACGTTTCTTCAACAAAGATTCCCATATGTTACATAAGTGTCTCAATTCTTCAGGGGAAGGAGTTACTAGCCCCTTGCTCCCGGCATGTTAGTTGCCTCTTACGACATGCATGGCTTACAGAGGAAGAATTCTGTTCCACTTCCTCATGGAGATAAGAGGAAATAAACAAGAACAAGAACTAGTAAGAAAGCAGAAGAAAGCCCAGAGGGGTGCACGTGTATAAATGCTTGTACATGTATCCGTAGTGTGACCTAAGTGTAAGTAGAAGTAGCAAGACGTACCTAAAATCTTGAATGTTTGAGACAAAAAAGACAAGAACAATCCCACCATCAAAGAAAAACAACTACAGTGGATCCCCGCCGTTCGGTGGCTGTGACTTTTGTGAAATCCGACTTTCGGCAAGTTTTTTTGGCAAAATTTAGCTTCGTGGCTCATGATTGGACTTGTGATTTGGCGACCTTCTGGTACGCGTCTGCCCGTCAGCGTGCACACAAAGCCAGTCTCCCGCACTATTCGCACTCAGTGTGCCATTGTTTACCAGCATGTGACCATCACCCCACGGGTTCATACAACACATTTCATAATAATTCATTGTTTTTTGTGCTTGCAACTGCTAAATAAGCCACCATGGGCCCAAAGAAAGCTCCTAGTGCCAGCCCTTTGGTAAAGAAGGTGAGAAACAGGATAGAATTCAAGAAAAAACTCATAGCAAAGTACTAAGTAGAGGAGGAAGAGAGAGGGGAGAATGTGCCTTCTGCAGTGATTCAGTGATTCTACAATATGTATGATACTAAAGCAGCAGGTATCGATAAAGGCTTTAGCTCCACCCAGCGATAAAGTGTAGAATTAACAGTGTAGCAAGTAAGTTAAGCGAGTAAGCGATAGAAAAACAACATGAGAGTAACTCTCCAATGTTGTTGGATGTGTATGACTGCTGAACATACACCGCCCTGCTATCTTCCACCACCCTAAACCTCTGCCAACATCTCCTTCATCAAACTAATTAAGCTAAAATCTCGTCCAAGGTAGGTGTAAATATAAAAGTGTAAGTATAAAAGTAAATAGAATAAGTGTAAATATAAGTGTGAGAGTAATGGTGGTTGGGGATTTCAATGCTAAAGTGGGTAAAAATGTTATGGAGGGAGTAGTAGGTAAATTTGGGGTGCCAGGGGTAAATGTAAATGAGGAGCCTTTAATTCAGCTATGTGTAGAAAGAAATTTGGTAATAAGTAATACATATTTTATGAAAAAGAGGATAAATAAATATACAAGGTATGATGTAGCACGTAATGAAAGTAGTTTTAGATTATGTATTGGTGGATAAAAGGTTGATGGGTAGGCTCCAGGATGTACATGTTTATAGAGGGGCAACTGATATATCAGATCATTATTTAGTTGTAGCTACAGTTAGAGTAAGAGGTAGATGGGAAAAGAGGAAGGTGGCAACAACAAGTAAGAGGGAGGTGAAAGTGTATAAACTAAGGGGGGAGGAAGTTCGGGCGAGATATAAGCGACTATTAGCAGAAAGGTGGGCTAGTGCAAAGATGAGTAGTGGGGGGGTTGAAGAGGGTTGGAATAGTTTTAAAAATGCAGTATTAGAATGTGGGGCAGAAGTTTGTGGTTATAGGAGGATGGGGGCAGGAGGAAAGAGGAGTGATTGGTGGAATGATGAAGTAAAGGGTGTGATAAAAGAGAAAAAGGTAGCTTACGAGAGGTTTTTACAAAGCAGAAGTGTTATAAGAAGAGCAGAGTATATGGAGAGTAAAAGAAAGGTGAAGAGAGTGGTGTGAGAGTGCAAAAGGAGAGCAGATGAAAGAGTGGGAGAGGCACTGTCAAGAAATTTTAATGAAAATAAGAAAAAATTTTGGAGTGAGTTAAACAAGTTAATTGAAAGCCTAGGGAAAGTATGGATTTGTCAGTTAAAAACAGAGTAGGGGAGTTAGTAAATGGGGGGAGGGAGGTATTAGGTAGATGGCGAGAATATTTTGAGGAACTTTTAAATGTTGAGGAAGAAAGGGAGGCGGTAATTTCATGCACTGGCCAGGGAGGTATAGCATCTTTTAGGAGTAAAGAAGAGCAGAATGTAAGTGTGGTGGAGGTACGTGAGGCATTACGTAGAATGAAAGGGGGTAAAGCAGCTGGAACTGATGGGATCATGACAGAAATTTAAAAGCAGGGGGGGGATATAGTGTTGGAGTGGTTGGTACTTTTGTTTAATAAATGTATGAAAGAGGGGAAGGTACCTAGGGATTGGCAGAGAGCATGTATAGTCCATTTATATAAAGGGAAAGGGGACAAAAGAGATTGTAAAAATTATAGAGGAATAAGTTTACTGAGTATACCAGGAAAAGTATACGGTAGGGTTATAATTGAAAGAATTAGAGGTAAGACAGAATGTAGGATTGCGGATGAGCAGGGAGGCTTCAGAGTGGGTAGGGATGTGTAGATCAAGTGTTTACATTGAAGATATATGTGAACAGTATTTAGATAAAGGTAGGGAAGTTTTTATTGATTTATGGATTTAGAAAAGGCATATGATAGAGTGGATAGAGGAGCAATGTGGCAGATGTTGCAAGTATATGGAATAGGTGGTAAGTTACTAAATGCTGTAAAGAGCTTTTATGAGGATAGTGAGGCTCAGGTTAGGGTATGTAGAAGAGAGGGAGAATACTTCCCGGTATAAAGTAGGTCTTAGACAGGGATGTGTAATGTCACCATGGTTGTTTAATATATTTATAGATGGGGTTGTAAAAGAAGTAAATGCTAGGGTGTTCGGGAGAGGGGTTAGGATTAAATTATGGGGAATCAAATTCAAAATGGGAACTGACACAGTTACTTTTTGTGATGATACTGTGCTTATGGGAGATTCTAAAGAAAAATTGCAAAGGTTAGTGGATGAGTTTGAGAATGTGTGTAAAGTAGAAAGTTGAAGTGAACATAGAAAAGAGTAATGTGATGAGGGTATCAAATGATTTAGATAAAGAAAAATTGGATATCAAATTGGGGAGGAGGAGTATGGAAGAAGTGAATGTTTTCAGATACTTGGGAGTTGACGTGTCGGCAGATGGGTTTATGAAGGATGAGGTTAATCATAGAATTGATGAGGGAAAAAAGGTGAGTGGTGCGTTGAGGTATATGTGGAGTCAAAAAACGTTATCTATGGAGGCAAAGAAGGGAATGTATGAAAGTATAGTAGTACCAACACTTATGGATGTGAAGCTTGGGTGGTAAATGCAGCAGTGAGGAGATGGTTGGAGGCAGTGGAGATGTCCTGTCTAAGGGCAATGTGTGGTGTAAATATTATGCAGAAAATTCGGAGTGTGGAATTAGGAGAAGGTGTGGAGTTAATAAAGCATTAGTCAGAGGGCAGAAGAGGGGTTGTTGAGGTGGTTTGGTCATTTAGAGAGAATGGATCAAAGTAGAATGACATGGAAGCATATAAATCTATAGGGGAAGGAAGGAGGGGGTAGGGGTCGTCCTCGAAAGGGTTGGAGAGAGGGGGTAAAGGAGGTTTTGTGGGCAAGGGGCTTGGACTTCCAGCAAGCGTGCATGAGTGTGTTAGATAGGAGTGAATGGAGACAAATGATACTTGGGACCTGACGATCTGTTGGAGTGTGAGCAGGGTAATATTTAGTGAAGGGATTCAGGGAAACCGGTTATTTTCATATAGTCGGACTTGAGTCCTGGAAATGGGAAGTACAATGCCTGCACTTTAAAGGAGGGGATTGGGATATTGGCAGTTTGGAGGGATATGTTGTGTATCTTTATACATGTACGTATATGCTTCTAAACTGTTGTATTCTGAGCACTTCTGCAAAAGCAGTGATAATGTGTGAGTGTGGTGAAAGTGTTGAATGATGATGAAAGTATTTTCTTTTTGGGGATTTTCTTTCTTTTTTGGGTCACCCTGCCTCGGTGTGAGACATCCGACTTGTTGAAAAAAAAAAATAAAAAAATAGGACGTCAATGGAAATATGTCACTCTTGAATTTTTTGGGTTTTCCTGGGTACTTTACACATATGCTGCTATGTATGATAATCTATGTATGTAACTGTATTTGTGTATACCTGAATAAACTTACTTATTTATAAATTAAAATGTAAATATTTCTTACATATAAATTAAAATGTAAATATTTCTTATTTATAAATTACATACAGTGTTTAAGTGTGATGGTGGTGGTGGCAAAGCCTCCACCGCCACCAACACGGCTTCTCTCAGTGGCGGCCCTTGAACCCAACAACAACACTTGCACCATTTACTCCTCTTGTACATTATTACATATTTTATTCATTCTAGAGTATATATCATGTTTCTATGTTATTAATATTATTTATAATGTCATATTAGATGAATTGCGATAGATAAATAAGCCGCAGAGATGATATTAGCGGCATATTGAAGCATAATAAACTCGCCTTCCTCTTGCCTCCTACCTACCTCCTACACCAACAAGAATCAATAAAGGTTAAGTGTGATGTTAAATGTTTATTTATCCATTTTATTAGTGTTTTATATTTACTTGTCATTGTTTTCTGTATGTAAATCTATATTTTATCTTTAAAAAAATTATTTTTTGTTAATACTTTTGTCTGAAACGGATTAATTGGGTTTCCATTATTTCTTACGGGGAAAATAGATTCGCCAATCATGAATTTCACCAGTCGGCAGACTTTCTGGAACAGATTAATCATGAAACTCGGGGGTCCACTGTACAGGCTTCCGTTTTACACTCGCTAGGCAGGATGGTAATACCTCCTTGGGCGGTTGCTGTCTACCAACCTACTACCTTTGTAATTCTTTTATTTGTTTATATCTTTTATCCAAGGCTATATTTACACTACTTTATTCTAATGCTTAATTTTCTGAGAAGCTGTATTCACTGGGAATTAATTGGACCTATTTGAATGTAATTATGGTTGGCAACTATGTTGATATCAAACTTGTTTTGCTATAACATTTCATTTCGTTAAATCTTTTCAGCAGTTGAGAGACAACTTTTCCTTATCTAAAGGTCTTTGTGCATATTTCGTATAGGGATGGCCTTATCCAGATTTTGGCAATTGCAAATTTTTTAAAAAAAAATACCTTTATAAATTAAATTTAGTAATAAAATGTTTGCAGGGGTGCCAATTGTGAGAACAGACCAACATGCTGGAGAATTTGTGATAACTTTTCCAAGATCTTATCATGCTGGATTTAACCAAGGCTATAATTTTGCTGAGGCTGTCAACTTTGCTCCACCTGACTGGGTAAGGACTGTATGTTAGTTAAATTTGCATTTTAGTAGTTTCTTTTATTATATTATATAAGAATAGTTATAACTATGACAAAAATTTTTAAAGGGGTGGACCAGTAAGCCAGCAGAAGGCCTTGGTCAGATGACCGAAAGCTCCAGCTATGGGTCATCATGTGAGACCCCCATCAGGAAACACTTGTCCTGTTTCCTGACAAACTTTATCAGCCAGTTCCTTTTATTATTAAAAGCTCCATATTGTGAGGCTAATTTATGTTTGGTAAGAATTAAGATAATATAGAAGACTGAAGTAACAGCTTGAGAAAATCTCATAACACTGCTAATTCTAACAAATGCATCTAATAGTAAGTAAAAACGTACAATAAATAACAGCAGATCTTAATTATAAGCCTCATTAACCCCTTGACTGTCGAAACCCCAAATCCTGAGGTGTCTCCTGGTGTCAAGAAATTTTTTGGGAAAAAAAAAAATAATAATTTTTTCTTATGAAATGATAGAGAATCTTTTCCCGATGGTAATGACACCAAAAGAACGAAATTTGATGGAAAACTTATGGAATTACGCTCTCGCGAAGTTAGCAATCTCAGCGATATTTACAAATCGGTGTTTTCACCCACTTTGAGCCCTAATTTCGCAAAAATTCTATAATGGTTCCAGTCGAACCAAACTATAGCTATTTCTTTAGATACTCCTTTTTTCTATCAATTGAGTACAAGAATCTGCCATGTACCCTGATTTATCTACCGTATAATGTGGTCCAGAATTTGCAATTTGGCCAATTTCACGCAATTAAAAATATGCCTTATGTCAAAATAGGGTCCAGAATGAACAATGCAGAGCTTCCTGGCTCTAAAATAACACTTTCTTTGTTCATCAGTCATGTCTCCAGGCCCCTCTGATATTATTATTGCTTTCTGTATTGAATTTTTATTCAAACAAAAAATAGAAGATTTACTGCTATGCAGACTACTGCAATATTGTAATAATTGTATAAATAATGTCAACCCATTCATGACTGCATATTAGAATGGCTAGTTGGACATTTATTGGACAATGACATCATTTGTTCACTTTTGAACATCGGCAAAAATCAAACGTTTCCCCTACTTCGAGCTCTATTTCAAGGTTCTTTTCATAGTAAAACCAATCAAAATCACCTCTATTTCTATAATATGTTTTCCATTCTATCAAATGAGACCACGAAAACGAGAATACAACCATAAATACTATACAAAAATAGACCACAAAGTCGGCGTTTTAATTAAAATAAAGTTGGAGTTTTTTTTCTCATTATGCACTGCGTGCTGCAGGATTTTTTTATATAGTGCACACTGACCATACAGACCCATTCTCTCACATGTGGGCCTACCAGCTTTCTCCTGCTTGATTTGAAGCCACTAGAATTTGAGTACGTATATATATACGTCAAATACGGTGGCTCGTAAGACATATATATACGACCGAAACAGTCAAAGGGTTAAGGATGAAAAGACAAAACAGCATAATCAGAAGGCAGCATGCATCCTGGAAAGGGCAAGTGGAGTTTTACACATAAGGCAGCTCTCAAAACGTATAAACAAGTGAAATTAGTTACTTAACCCTTTAACCCTTAAATGGTCCAAACGTATATATACGTTTTTCAACATCTGAAAGGATGTAAAAAAATGTAGATCTTTTGTTTTGTTTTACATTTGAAAATGTGTAAAAAAAAGTAGATCTACTTTTGTAGCACTACGAATTTGAACGTCAATTTGTTTGGACCGTTTAAGGGTTAACTGTCAAACTATTGTTCTACGTTTTACTGCTAGCATTCCAAATATTTAAAAAAAAAAAATCTTTTAAAACAGAGGGCAATTTTCTGTGTGTAATAAGATCAGAAAAAAAATTTAGGCCAGTACATATTGAGATATGTATAATAGGGGCCTGTCATCCAGTTTTCTGTGCGCTCTCAAAAAAAAATTGAAAAATTAGGGAATTGAGTTGTTCATATAGAAAAATAGCTTAACTCTTTGGCAACACAATGGTACAGGAATCAATGTTCTACGACGTTTCTACAAGAAATTATAGTCATTTATATCAGGTATGGTGACGGCTATATGGGTAGCGCATCTGCTGACAGCCCATATATTTTTTTGGAATTTTTTCCTTCTTTTTTATCGCTTTTTCTTGCATTATTCTGTCCTGTCTAAGGGCAATGTGTGGTGTAAATATTATGCAGAAAATTCGGAGTGTGGAAATTAGGAGAAGGTGTGGAGTTAATAAAAGCATTAGTCAGAGGGCAGAAGAGGGGTTGTTGAGGTGGTTTGGTCATTTAGAGAGAATGGATCAAAGTAGAATGACATGGAAAGCATATAAATCTATAGGGGAAGGAAAGAGGGGTAGGGGTCGTCCTCGAAAGGGTTGGAAAGAGGGGGTAAAGGAGGTTTTGTGGGCGAGGGGCTTGGACTTCCAGCAAGCGTGCATGAGCGTGTTAGATAGGAGTGAATGGACATGAATGATACTTGGGACCTGACGATCTGTTGGAGTGTGAGCAGGGTAATATTTAGTGAAGGGATTCAGGGAAACCGGTTATTTTCATATAGTCGGACTTGAGTCCTGGAAATGGGAAGTACAATGCCTGCACTTTAAAGGAGGGATTTGGGATACTGGCAGTTTGGAGGGATATGTTGTATATCTTTATACGTATATGCTTCTAAGCTGTTGTATTCTGAGCACCTCTGCAAAAGCAGTGATAATGTGTGAGTGTGGTGAAAGTGTTGAATGATGATGAAAGTATTTTCTTTTTGGGGATTTTCTTTCTTTTTTTGGGTCACCCTGCCTCTGTGGGAGACGACCGACTTGTTGAAAAAAAAAAAAAATTCTTTAAATGTAATAATTGACTATTTGGCATCATAAAAGAGTAGGCGGAGCTTATACGTAGACTTCTAGCCAATCAGGAACCATCTAGCAGTATTCCCGCTCCAGAGAGCCAGGAGAAATCACTTCATTATTACGCTTTATATCAACTCTACGGCTTATTTATCTATCAGAATTGATCTAATATGATATAATAAACACTATAAATAACATACAGACATGCTATATACTCTAGACTGAATAAAATAGGCCATAATATGGTGAGTCCACCAGCAATATTTCGATATACACGAGTTACTCGTCTCCATGTCATCTTTGAGTAAGAGAAAACGGTGTTTTGAAGAGGATAACTGCACTTGAATGTCAGTTTACTAAGAAATACACCGAAACAAACGCGATTTTTGCAAATTTTTTTTTTCGAGACGGCTGGCCGGCCGGCGTTCCAGGCCAATATCTCGGAAGTAACTTATTCACTTATTTCGCTATGGTACGCCTTTATTACTTTATTAAGTTGAATAATATTCACAGAAATGGTAAAATAATGATTTCTCTAATTAATTCCAGGAGAATTTTGGAAATATTCCAAATACTTTGGGATTTATGTGGGAGTAAAGGGCAGATTTTTTTCAACATTCCAAGAACTAACAAACTTTATTTTTTTGTGAAATAAAGATAAGTTATTTAGAGGGAAGGTCTCAGGGAAAATTCGTATAAGTATTGTTCTCTCGGCACCAAGTGTCCAAACAACCTTACGTCGTCTCATAGGACTACCTTCCTGCCAAAGGGCATTTTCAGTAAATCAGTCCTTTTTCAGTCTTTTCTCAGTTGTTGTTTGAGGTATCTTATTGATAAATACTATTTACAGGAAATAGAGAAAACACTTTGCCTTGAGCACCCAAACTGAAGGAGGAAATCTGACGGTAAACAAAGAAGCAAAAATTAATTGGATGACAGGCCCCTTATTTACTGCTAGCATTCCAAATATTTTGAAAAAAAAAAATTAAGAGGGCAATTTTCTGTGTGTAATAAGATCAGAAAAAAAAATTTAGGCCAGTACATATCGAAATATGTATAAGGCAGCAAAGATGGCACTAGATGCTCATGTGACAGCAACATGGAGTCCTGCTGCTTGCAAAAAATTTGCTGTTATACCTTTCTTTTTTACTTTATATGTCCCAACAATGTTTTTAAAAGTGCTAGAGTATATGAAACACCTTCAAGCACAATGTCAGTGTTACTACTCTGCTGACAGTGCAGTCACTCAGTATTGCTGATGGTGCATTTATCCCACTGAACCTTGACACATGTTTATTTGTTCTCACTGTTCCATACACACACGAGCATATTTTTTTTTTTTTTTTTAAACAGGGTTTGACAAGGTTAGGTTAAGGATTCCTAACTTTATTGATAAGCTAAGAGCTGTTACCTACATCAGCTCATTTGAAAGCATTTTTATTGTTATGAAACATACACGTAGGGAACAGGATGAAGTTGGAGCCATCTGTGGGCCAGCATTTTCATCTGATCAACTGACTTTATCTCGTTGACATCATAATGTTGTATGAATGTGTTCCAGACTTGAGTCATCCTGGGAATAAATGATCTCAGATGAAGTGATGTTCTGGAGAAGGGTACAGCCAGAGTGAAGTTTCTGCTTTCTGCCCGTCTTGTGGTATAGAAACTTGCTTTACGCTGTCCTCGAAGTGGGTCCAAGTGTGGTACTTTTACAATATTGGCCTTGTACATAACAGTAAGGCCACCCACATCCCTCCTGTGTTGATGGCTCTGCTGAAATGACAGATCTATCCAGGATTGGTCCAGGCGAGAGATGAGACCCATTAATGTTAACACAATTAATCCGTTGCAGACAAAAAAACATTCACAAAAGAAAAAATATTTTTTTAACAATTAAATCATTATTACATACCTTTATTGAAGACTATTGCTGGCTTCTGGAATGCCTGCTACACTCCCTGCATGCCTTCTACACTCCCTGTATGCCTGCCACACTCCCTGCATGCCTGCCACACTCCCTGCATGCCTGCTGCACTCCCTGCATGCCTTCTACACTTCACGCTTAAATTCCATGGTGTTTCTCGCTTTCCACACCACAGGAACTAAATTTACTAGGAACTTTCTTTGGAGCCATGGTTACTTATTTCGCAGTTGCACTGTAAAAACCCACAAAAAAAATGGAAAACAAGTGAAATGTTTGGATGTATGAGCAGAAGATACCTCACACGCCAAGAGAGAGAACCAAACTGACGCGCAAGCGGCCCCAGCTGGCGGACAGACGTGTCCGAAATGGCTGATCACCAGGAGCCGAAAAACCGGCCGATCACCGAGTTGGCCAGTAAAAGGAACGGCCAATAAGCGAGGGTCCACTGTAAGTGGAAAGATACAGCTGTGATCAAAATGTGTATTACTTGCCAGTCACGCTTATGCCTCGTATCTACAAGCACAGTATAGTACTTTCGCTTTATTGTGTTATCCTAGGTAATTTGCACTATGTATGATAACTGTACTTATGTGTACCTGTGTCTAGATAAACTTAGTCCTTGATTCTGATTCATGAGTGGCTCTGAGCCAGAGCTAACCAGAGCCATCTAGCCAACCAAAGTTACCAGCAAGCCAGTCGAACATGTATTACACATGTTGCAGAATCATCTCTCTCTTCTTAAGGCATAGAATGACATTACCATTTGCATCAGAATTGAAAAGATGTACCACAAATGTTGCACGTGGGTTATCTAGGTTTTTTATGTTTCCTCAAACACTTGGGGGCCATGTCAGTCTCAAAGCCACTAAACTTGGGGTCAACATCACTTTCCTCAAAAAAGTATTTTTAATATGATGTGGCATTAGTGAATCCCTGGGGTTTTCCATGCTGTTTGCTCTTAGCTGGCATTCGGTTAAAGGTACTAAGTGGTCCCAGATTTTTAAATACTGAACACACTGAGTGTTAAGACCCATTTTATACTGCCTAGGCCTGTCAGGCCTCTGGCACCAAATTTGAAAGCCTGAAAACGTAGTAAAACGTAAATCAACTGTTTGACAGCTAAATGGTTAAAAGGGATTATTTAGATGTGGACCCTGCCAAGGCAGGGTGACCCAAAGAAGAAAACACATTCACTAATATTCACTCAATCTCACTCATCCCAGAATCAGATTTCCCCTATAATTGCAACACCCCCACCCTTCTTCAAAAGTGCAGGCACTGCCCTACCTACCTCCAGGACTTGAGTCTGGCTAACTTGCCTTAACAGATACTTAGTTGTCATCACTGGGCAAATTCTTCACTGTTATTGGCAAGTGTATCAGAGTACCTTATTCATTACTGTATGCCCTGGCCACCTTGAGCAAGGTACATTTTCAAAAATGTTTGCTATAAAACATTTTAGTCCATGTGTTTAACTCCATTAGTAAAGAATTTAATCAAACACTCTTATTTTTGTATTTTCAAGTTATCAGATTATTGTGACTTTTATTCTTTATTATCACTGAATTATAAATTGCAGTTTACTTTTGTGGAGCATGTTGTAATTTTGTAATTTTTTACAGCTGGCTATCGGGCGTGAGTGTGTGCTCCACTACAGTAATTTGAAGCGTTACTGTGTCTTCTCTCATAATGAACTGGTTTGTAAAATGGCGTCCACTCCTGATGAATTAGATTTAACAGTAGCAGCAGCTACATACCAAGATATGCTGCGAATGGTGGATTTGGAAAAGAAGCTACGAAGATCACTCCTTCATTGGGTTGGTATTAGTTTCTTACTAAATCTTTGCTAACATTAATTTGCAATGTTTTTTATTGTCCTTATAAGTTTTACAGTTGTTATTTGCACTAGCAGATTTTCTTTCTATACTCGGTCATTATTTTTTTAATGTTTGTGATTCGAAAGAATATAAAGGTGATTCTCAATTTCAAGTGGTTCAAACCAATTTACTTTGGAGGTGAAACTTAAGATATTTACTCAACATGAAGGCAGCAAGTCCTTAACTTGTATCCATTTATTTACTTTAAAATATGGGTATTTAGTTACAGTAATTAATTGTGGACCCCGTTACGACTTTTTTCATTGACAGTAGATATTATATGTTCAGGTGCAGTACTGACCGAATTTTTTCCATAAGGAATATGGAAGTGATTAGTCCTTTCAACCCCCAAACATACACGTACAAACGCACTTACTTTAAGAACTGCGTGCTTAACATATTTCTGCAGATTCCTCATTTTCATGAATAATAAAGCAAAACTGAATACTTTGACTTACCTCTTTGTGTGGTTTGATCTTGTCAATCTGAATGTAGCCTTATAATTGCTGGTGCAGTACTTTCATTGTCTTTACTGTATTTCTTTATAGTGTTTTAAAATAGTATTATGTAATACAAAAAATCCTTCATATAATCAACAGTATTACGTTATAGAATAATAAGCCAATACCAGTATTCTTATATGAGTGTGAAGGGTTGTGAATGCTGTAGTGAGGAGGAGGAGGAGGCTGGAGGCAGTGGAGATGTCGTGTCTAAGGGCAATGTGTGGCGTAAATATTATGCAGAGAATTCATAGTGTGGAAATTAGGAGGTGTGGAGTTACAAAAAGTATTACTCAGAGGGCTGAATAGGGGTTATTGAGGTGGTTTGGTCATTTAGAGAGGATGGAGGAAAATAGAATGACTTGGTGGGTGTATAAATCTGTAGTAGAAGGGAGGAGGGGTAGGGGTCGTCCTAGGAAAAGATAGAGGGAAGGGTTTTGTGTACAAGGGGCCTGGACATGCAGCAGGCATGTGTGGGCATGGTCGATTGGAGTAAATGGAGAAGAATGGTTTTTGGAACCTGACAAGCAGTTGGAGTGTGAGTAGGGTAATATTTTGTGACGGGAGTCAGGGAAACCGGTTAGCCGGACTTGAGTCCTGGAGGTGGGAAGTACTATGGCTGCACTTTAAAGGAGGGGTTTGGGATATTGACTGTTTGGAGTGACATCTAAACTGTCATATCTGGGCTCCTCTGCAAAGACAGTGATTGTGTGAATAATGATGAATGTGTTTCTTTACTTTTTGGGTCATCCTGCCTGTGTGGGAGATGGCTGACGTGTTTAAAAAAAAAGAGTCGGTACACAGTCATAGCATAGAGAAGAGGACAAAAGTAGATGGGTGTGTTGAGGTGTCTGCTGAAAGAAAGGAGTTCATCATTGGAGGCAAATAAGGTAAATTAATCAGAGTATAGTGGTGCCTTCCCTTTTGTTGGGGTGAGGCATAGTCTTTGAATATTGTAGCGAGGAGGCAGTGGCAGCTGAAGGCAGTAGAAATGGCATGTTTGAGATCAATGGGTAGCACAATTATTGTTTGGAGATTAAGGAGCATATAAAAGGTTTACTTTATGTAATTAAAGGAGGCGGTCATCTGACCTGTTATGTATGTCTATTTGCTTTGGGCACGACAAAAGATTGAACGAGTGAGTGAAAGTTTTCTTTGTTTTGTCTCCCTGTTGTGGTGGGAAATGGCCAGGAGTGTTAAAAAAAAAATTTAGGTGGCCGAGGAGCTATTGAGTTGTTGCCATTGAGAAAGGATGGAGCCCAGTATGTTGACTAAGTTATTTATAAATCCAGGGTGGATGAAAGGAGATATAGAGAACATCACAGTTAGGATTGAAAGGAGAGGGGTTTAAGCTGGTCTTGAGTGATAGGGACTTCCCGTGAGTGAGTGAGTTCATGTTAGTGAGTGGCGGCAAATATATTTTGGTCTCAAAATATGCTGTGAGAGCACCATAACATTAATAATTAAGGATAGCCAGTTAGCCAATAGGTAGTAGGTTAGTAGACAGCAACCACTCAGGAAGGTACTACCGTCCTGCCAAGTGAGTGTAAAATGGAAGCCTGTAATTGTTTTACATGATGATAGGATTGCTGGTGCCTTTTTTCTGTCTCATAAACATGCAAGGTTTCAGGTACGTCTTGCTACTTCTACTTACACTTAGGTCACACTACACATACATCTACATGCATATATATACACACCCCTCTGGGTTTTCTTCTATTTTCTTTGTAGTTCTTGTTCTTGTTTATTTCCTCTTATCTCCATGGGGAAGTGAAACAGAATTTTCCTCCGTAAGCCATGTGTGTTGTAAGAGGCGACTAAAATGCCAGGAGCAAGGTCCTAGTAACCCCTTCTGTACAAATTGCTAAATTTAAAAAGAGAAACTTACGTTTTTCTTTTTGGGCCACCCTGCCTCGGTGGGATACGGCCAGTTTGCTGAAAAAAAAAAAAATGTTTTTTTTTTTTTTTTCTTACTAGTTCTTGTTATTGTTTATTTCCACTTATCTCCCTGGGGAAATGTAACTGAATTCTTCCTCCATATTCCATGAGTGTCATGAGAGGTGACTGAAATGTTGGGAGCAAGGGGCTAGTAACCCTTTCTCCTGTATGTTACTAAATTTAAAAAGAGAAACTTCAGTTTTTCATTTTGGGCCATTCTGTCTTGGTAGGATATGGCCAGTTTGTTGAAAGAAGAAGCCAGTTAGCCAGACTAGTTCAAGGGGTGAGAAGTTCACTGCTTGCCACTGGCATAATTCTTAACACCATTTACTTTATTCTTGGAAATATTCATAAAATAGGTGACTTTCACATCAGAACTGAGACTTGTGTTTTCTACAGGGAGTAACAAGTGCAGAAAGAGAAGCATTTGAGCTTCTACCAGATGATGAAAGACAATGTGATTTCTGCAAAACAACATGTTTTCTGTCAGCTGTGACCTGCACCTGTGTCCAAGACCGCTTAGTGTGTTTAAGACATTATAAAATGTTATGCGAATGTCCACCAGAGAACCACACACTCAGGTTAGTTGTCAATATTTTTCCTTATAATTAATTCGTTGTTCTGCTAATTTTTTCCTGCACTTCATTGTCCCTGACATGTTTAATTGCAATTATGATGACTCCTGTGCTTCCTTGAAAATTTACTTTGATAATTTTTTAACACATTGGCAATCTTCCATTAACCCTTTCAGGGTCCGTGCTGTAGATGTACGGCTTTATGTTGAGGGTCCAAACCATAGATCTACGCCATGAGCTCAGCTCGCTCTGATAAGCTGTGAGTGGTAAATTTGGCCTTGATATGAAAATAATCTATGTGGTATGTGTGTACCACATGAAACAAATCCTGCAGCACACAGTCCATAATGAGAGGAAAAAACTGAGACCATAATTTTCAGTTAAAACAGCGAATTTGCAGTGTTTTTCGTATGTTTTTTATAGTTGTATTTGCGATTTCTTGGTCTCATTTGATAGAATGGAAGATATATTACAGAAATAGAGATTATTTTGATTGGTTTTAGTACTGAAAATAGCTTGAAACAGAGCTCAAAGTAGCAGGAATGTTAAATTTTTGCCGATATTCAAGAGTAAACAAATAATTTGGTTTGAATAAAAATTCATTATTTGAATTTAAAATCAAACTGGAATTCATTTGTAAAGTCTGAAAACATAACTTAATGAAACAGAGGAAATGTTAGTTTTTAGATGACAGAAAATTTATTTTGCTTGTTTTAGATGAATAGCTTAACTGCTAAATGGAAATTTAATTTCCCATCGGACTCTTTTGAATAAAATTTTGAAAATTGGAATTATTTTAATTAAACTTTGCATTATAATTGCCAAATTTTATTACCGACATTTCCAAATCATTCCTCATTCATTTTGTAGTTGAAACAGTTGACTTGCCGATTTCTTGTGCTCAATAGATAGAATAGAAGTAATACTAGTGAAATAGCTAAGAATTTGGTCGACTGGAATAATGTAATTGGCCTAAAATGAGAGTCAAAGTTAGCAAAATCACCGATCCGTAAATATCGCTGACACGTCAAAATTCGCGAGAGCATAATTTCGTAAATTTTCCATCAGATTTCGTACTTTTTGTTTTATTACCTTCAGAAAAAGATTCTCTACCATTTCATAAGAAAAAATAACAAAATTATTTTTTGAAAATTCTTGGACCCTGGTGCACACTTTGAAATTTGGCCTCTCGACCCTGAAAGGGTTAAAGTAGGGTGACCTTAAAAAAAAATTCTCCATGAATCTTTCAGTAACTGTCTTGCCAGAAGTTTGCAGACATCACAATTCAGAGATTCTCTGAACAGCAACATCCCCACCCCTTTTTCAGAGTGCAGGCATTGTTCTTCCCACCTAGAACTCTAGTCCAACTAATTGATTTTCCTGAATATTCTTCATAAATGTTACCCTGCTTAAAATCCAAGAGGTAGTCAGATCTGCAGTACCACTTCTCTTTACTCACTTGGCTCTTAACAAGCTCACACACTACTTCTGGATACTCAATCTTCTTCCATTTAAAATCTTTCATTAGTAGAAAATATAAACAAAGAATTCTATGAGTTTTAAGTGAAATTCCTTAGGGGTGGAGGCATCTTTATTGAAACCAATAAAATGCACAGCATTTTGGGCATAAACAAGCTGATACAAGGTTATTTTGTAGGCAGATATTTTCACATGTATGAGGGAGCTAAAGTAGAACATTAAGGTAATGTAAATGTTTCATGTGGATGCCAGATTAAGTATAGAAACTATATTCGCTTGAATGTGCGTGGATGTAGTGCAGATGACAAGAAACAGATGATTGCTGATGTTATGAATGAAAAGAAGTTGGATGTCCTGGCCCTAAGTGAAACAAAGCTGAAGGGGATAGGGGAGTTTCGGTGGGGGGAAATAAATGGGATTAAATCTGGAGTATCTGAGAGAGTTAGAGCAAAGGAAGGGGTAGCAGTAATGTTGAATGATCAGTTATGGAAGGAGAAAAGAGAATATGAATGTGTAAATGCAAGAATTATGTGGATTAAAGTAATGGATGCGAGAAGTGGGTCATAATAAGCGTGTATGCACCTGGAGAAGAGAGGAATGCAGAGGAGAGAGAGAGATTTTGGGAGATGTTAAGTGAATGTATAGGAGCTTTTGAACCAAGTGAGAGAGTAATTGTGGGTAGGGGATCTGAATGCTAAAGTAGGAGAAACTTTTAGAGAGGGTGTGGTAGGTAAGTTTGGGGTGCCAGGTGTAAATGATAATGGGAGCCCATTGATTGAACTTTGTATAGAAAGGGGTTTAGTTATAGGTAATACATATTTTAAGAAAAAGAGGATAAATAAGTATACAAGATATGATGTAGGGCGAAATGACAGTAGTTTGTTGGATTATGTATTGGTAGATAAAAGACTGTTGAGTAGACTTCAGGATGTACATGTTTATAGAGGGGCCACAGATATATCAGATCACTTTCTAGTTGTAGCTACACTGAGAGTAAAAGGTAGATGGGATACAAGGAGAATAGAAGCATCAGGGAAGAGAGAGGTGAAGGTTTATAAACTAAAAGAGGAGGCAGTTAGGGAAAGATATAAACAGCTATTGGAGGATAGATGGGCTAATGAGAGAATAGGCAATGGGGTCGAAGAGGTATGGGGTAGGTTTAAAAATGTAGTGTTAGAGTGTTCAGCAGAAGTTTGTGGTTACAGGAAAGTGGGTGCAGGAGGGAAGAGGAGCGATTGGTGGAATGATGTAAAGAGAGTAGTAAGGGAGAAAAAGTTAGCATATGAGAAGTTTTTACAAAGTAGAAGTGATGCAAGGAGGGAAGAGTATATGGAGAAAAAGAGAGAGGTTAAGAGAGTGGTGAAGCAATGTAATAAGAGAGCAAATGAGAGAGTGGGTGAGATGTTATCAACAAATTTTGTTGAAAATAAGAAAAAGTTTTGGAGTGAGATTAACAAGTTAAGGAAGCCTAGAGAACAAATGGATTTGTCAGTTAAAAAATAGGAGAGGAGAGTTATTAAATGGAGAGTTAGAGATATTGGGAAGATGGAGGGAATATTTTGAGGAATTGTTAAATGTTCATGAAGATAGGGAAGCTGTGATTTCGTGTATAGGGCAAGGAGGAATAACATTTTGTAGGAGTGAGGAAGAGCCAGTTGTGAGTGTGGGGGAAGTTCGTGAGGCAGTAGGTAAAATGAAAGGGGTAAGGCAGCCGGGATTGATGGGATAAAGATAGAAATGTTAAAAGCAGGTGGGGATATAGTTTTGGAGTGGTTGGTGCAATTATTTAATAAATGTATGGAAGAGGGTAAGGTACCTAGGGATTGGCAGAGAGCATGCATAGTTCCTTTGTATAAAGGCAAAGGGGACAAAAGAGAGTGCAAAAATTATAGGGGGATAAGTCTGTTTAGTATACCTGGTAAAGTGTATGGTAGAGTTATTGAAAGAATTAAAAGTAAGACTGAGAATAGGATAGCAGATGAACAAGGAGGCTTTAGGAAAGGTAGGGGGTGTGTGGACCAGGTGTTTACAGTGAAACATATAAGTGAACAGTATTTAGATAAGGCTAAAGAGGTCTTTGTGGCATTTATGGATTTGGAAAAGGCGTATGACAGGGTGGATAGGGGGCAATGTGGCAGATGTTGCAGGTGTATGGTGTAGGAGGTAGGTTACTGAAAGCAGTGAAGAGTTTTTACGAGGATAGTGAGGCTCAAGTTAGAGTATGTAGGAAAGAGGGAAATTATTTCCCAGTAAAAGTAGGCCTTAGACAAGGATGTGTGATGTCACCGTGGTTGTTTAATAGATGGGGTTGTAAGAGAAGTAAATGCGAGGGTCTTGGCAAGAGGCGTGGAGTTAAAAGATAAAGAATCACACATAAAGTGGGAGTTGTCACAGTTGCTCTTTGCTGATGACACTGTGCTCTTGGGAGATTCTGAAGAGAAGTTGCTGAGATTGGTGGATGAATTTGGTAGGGTGTGCAAAAGAAGAAAATTAAAAGTGAATACAGGAAAGAGTAAGGTTAAGAGGATAACAAAAATATTAGTGATGAAAGATTGGATATCAGATTGGAGGGAGAGAGTATGGAGGAAGTGAATGTATTCAGATATTTGGGAGTGGACGTGTCAGCGGATGGGTCTATGAAGGATGAGGTGAATCATAGAATTGATGAGGGAAAAGGGTGAGTGGTGTACTTAGGAGTCTGTGGAGACAAAGAACTTTGTCCTTGGAGGCAAAGAGGGGAATGTATGAGAGTATAGTTTTACCAACACTCTTATATGGGTGTGAAGCATGGGTGATGAATGTTGCAGCGAGGAGAAGGCTGGACGCAGTGGAGATGTCATGTCTGAGGGCAATGTGTGGTGTGAATATAATGCAGAGAATTCGTAGTTTGGAAGTTAGGAGGAGGTGCGGGATTACCAAAACTGTTGTCCAGAGGGCTGAGGAAGGGTTGTTGAGGTGGTTCAGACATGTAGAGAGAATGGAGCGAAACAGAATGACTTCAAGAGTGTATCAGTCTGTAGTGGAAGGAGGGTGGGGTAGGGGTCGGCCTAGGAAAGGTTGGAGGGAGGGGGTAAAGGAGGTTTTGTGTGCGAGGGGCTTGGACTTCCAGCAGGCGTGCATGAGCGTGTTTGATAGGAGTAAATGGAGACGAATGGTTTTTAATACTTGACGTGCTGTTGGAGTGTGAGCAAAGTAACATTTATGAAGGGGTTCAGGGAAACCGGCAGGCCGGACTTGAGTCCTGGAGATGGGAAGTACAGTGCCTGCACTCTGAAGGAGGGGTGTTAATGTTGCAGTTTAAAAACTGTAGTGTAAAGCACCCTTCTGGCAAGACAGTGATGGAGTGAATGATGGTGAAAGTTTTTCTTTTTCGGGCCACCCTGCCTTGGTGGGAATCAGCCAGTGTGATAATAAATAATAGAAATTTGCTTATGTGAACAGTATTTAGATAAAGACAAGGAAGTTGTCATTGCATTTATGAATTTACAAAAGGCATATGATATTGGATAGGGGAGCAGATGTTGCAAGTGTATGCAATAAGCAGTAAGTTATTAAATGCTGTAAAGAGTTTTTATGAGGGTAGTGAGGCTCAGGTTAGGGTGTGTAGGAGAGGGGGAGATTACTTCCCAGTAAAAGTAGGTCTTAAGGATGTGTAATGTCACCATGGTTGTTTAACATATTTATATTTGGGGGTTTTGTAAAAGCAGTAAATGCTAGGGTGTTGGGGAGAGGGGTAGGATTAAATTATGGGGAATGAAATACAAAATGGGAGTTGAACAGTTACTTTTTGCTGATGATATTGTGCTTTTTGGGGATTCTAAAGGAAATTTGCAAAGGTTAGTAGACGAGTTTGGTAGGGTGTGTAAAGGTAGAAAGTTGGAAGTGAATATAGATAAGAGTAAGGTGATGAGGGTATCAAACGATTTAGATACAGAAAAAGTGGATATTACATTGGAGGGAGGGAGTATAGAAGAAGTGAATGTTTTCAAATATTTGGGAGTTGACTTGTCAGCAGATGGGTTTATGAAGGATGAGGTAAACCATAGAATTGATGAAAAAAAGGTGAGTGGTGAGTTGAGGTATTTGTGGAGACAAAGGTTATCCATGGAGGCTATAAAGGGAATATACGAGAGTATAGTGGTACCAACATTTAGGTGGGTGTGAAACATGGGTTGTAAATTTGCAGTAAGGAGGCAGCTGAAGGCACTGGAGATGTCGTGTCTAAGGGTAATGTGTGGTGTAAATATTATGCAGAAAATTCATAGTGTGGAAATTAGGAGGAGGTGTGGAGTTATTAAAAGCATTAGTCAGAGGGCTGAAGAGAGGCTGTTAAGGTGGTTTGGGTTTAGTTATTTAGAGAGAATGGAAGAGAGTAGAATGGCTTGGAGAGCGTTATAAATCTATTGGGGATGAAAGGTGAGGTAGGGGTCATCCCCAAAAATGGTTGGAGGGAAGGGGTAAGGAGGTTTTTGTGGGTGAGGGGCTTGGACTTTCCAGCAAGTGTGCATAAGCGTGTTAGGAGTGAATGGAGATGAATGGTTTTTTGGGACCTGACGAGCTGTTGGAGTGTGAGCAGAGTAATATTTTGTGAAGGAAGTCGGGGAAACTGGTTAGCCAGACTTGAGTCCTGGAAATGGGAAGTACAGTATCTGCACTTTAAAGGAGGGGGTTAGAATATTGGCAGTTTGGAGGGACCTCTAAACTGTCATATCTGAGCGCCTCTGCTAAGACGGTGATTAAGTACGAATGATGGTGAAAGTGTTGAATGATGATGAAATTTTTCTTTTTTCTCTTTGGGTCACCTTGCCTTGGTGGGAAGCAGCTGACATGTTGAAAAAAAATTTTCCTTTAGGTTACATTCATGTGCCTTTCACCAATAATAAAAATACATTTTATGCATGATCCTGTTTGTTTTATAAACAGATATCGGTACACTTTAGACGAACTTCCTCCCCTACTGCAACGTTTAAAAGTACGAGCTGAATCCTTTGACCATTGGGCTGTCAAGGTGAAGGAAGCTTTAGAAGCAAAGCCAGAAGACAAGTTAGGTATGCAGTTATTTTTGTTTTTTTTTTATCATGAATGCTAACCTTACTGGCTTATTGCAGTTGAAAAAGTTTCGGGAAATAATGTGAAAATAACTTGGCATGCTTTAGTATTTGCTTCACCTACAAATAAACAAAAAACAGAATTTGTTTATAAATATATTTTGACATTGTTTTTATCTTTGAATTATCACACAAATTCAATTATATTTTTAGAGCTGCATGGTTTTCTGAATTATCACACAAATATAATTGAGCTAATGTCTTTCAGAATTGAGTGATCTGCGAGAGCTAGTAGAGGAAGCAGAAGCACAGCGGTTTCCAGAGAGTGAATTGTTGCAGACTTTGATTCAAGCAGTGACAGAGGCAGAAAAATGTGCCACTGTTGCTGCTCATCTTGCCACAAAGAAGGTTCGCACCAGGTCAGTATATCTTCTTTCAATAAAACGGCTGTATTCCACCGAAGCGGGGTGGCCCAAAAGGAAAAACAAAAGTTTCTCTTTTTAACGTTAATATTGTATACAGGTTTTGTGGGCGAGGGGCTTGGACTTCCAGCAGGCGTGCGTGAGCGTGTTCGATAGGAGTGAAAGGAGACGAATGGTATCTGGGAGCTGACGAGCTGTTGGAGTGTAAGCAGGGTAATATTTAGTGAAGGGATTCAGGGAAACCAGTTATTTTTATATAGCCCGTGTTGAGTCCTGGAAATGGGAAGTATACTATGCCTGCACTTTAACCCTTTGAGGGTCGACAGGCCCTCTCCGAGACTCGTTCTCAGGGTCGGCCAAATTTAAAAAAAAAAAAATTATTATCTCTTATGAAAAGATAGAGAATCTTTTCCCGATCATAATGACACCAAAAGTTTGAAATTTGATGGAAAATTTACAGAATTATGCTCTCGCGAAGTTAGCGGTATTGGCGATGTTTACGCATCGCCGATTTTGCCCACTTTGAGCCCCATTTTCGGCCAATTCCACTGTACTAGTCGGCAAAAAACATGAATATTTTGCTAGAACTCCATTTTTTCTATCGAATGAATGCAAGAAACCACCCATTTATCAATTTCAACTATCCAGTACAGTGGTCAGAATTTAGCAATTTTGCCAATTTCACACAAATTTCAAAAGATACCAATTTCCGAATAGGGTCCAGAATAAACAAGAAAGACATTCCTGGCACTAAAATGACATTTCCTCTGTTCATTAGTCACGTCTCAAGGCCCCTCTTATATTCTTTTGCTTTCCACTTTGAATTTTTATTCTCACAAAAAATAGAAGATTTACTGTTATGCAGACTACTGCATTAGTGTAAAAAATGGTATAAATAATATAGGCGCACTTGCAAAAGAATATTAGACTCACCAGTTGACGTGTATTGGAACCTTGGCATGATTTGTTTACTTTTGAACTTTGGTAAAAATCAAACATTTCTGCTACTTGAGCTCAATTTCAAGGTACTTTTCATTGTAAAACCAGTCAAAATCATCTCAATTTCTGTAATATGTCTTCCATTCTATAAAATGAGACCAAGAAAACTAGAATACGACAATAAATACCATTCGAAAATACAGTGCAAAGTCGTTGTTTTATTCCAAAAAAATGGTCACAGTTTTTTTTTTTCTCATTATGCACTGTGTGCTGCAGGATTTTTTTTATACTGTGCACACTGACCACATACACCCATTCTTTCATATGTAGACCTACCAGCTTTCTCCCACTAGATTTGAGGACGCTAGAATTTAGGCGTACTAGTACGTCAAAAACCCTGGGTCGTAAGCCGTACTAGTACGGCCGAAACCCTCAAAGGGTTAAAGGAGGGGTTTGGGATATTGGTAGTTTGGAGGGATATGTTGTGTAACTTTATACGTATATGCTTTCTAAACTTTGTATTCTGAGCACCTCTGCAAAAACAGTGATTGTGTGAGTGAGGTGAAACATATACAGGAGAAGGGGTTACTAGCCCCTTCCTCCCGTCATTTTAGTCACCTCTTCCGACACACATGGCTTACGGAGGAAGAATTCTGTTCCACTTCCCCATGGAGATAAGAGGAAATAAACAAGAACTAGAAAGAAAATAGAAGAAAACCCAGAGGGGTATGTATGTATATATATGCTTGTACATGTATGTGTAGTGTGACCTAAGTGTAAGTAGAAGAAGCAAGATGTACCTGAAACCTTGCATGTGTATGAGACAGAAAAAAAAAAGACACCAGCAATCCTACCATCGTGTAAAACAATTACAGGCTTCTGTTTTACACTCACTTGGCAGGACGGTAGTACCTCCCTGGGCGGTTGCTGTCTACCAACCTACTACCTAGGGTATATATATACAGTGGTCCCTCAATTATCGTCCTTAATCCTTTCCTGGAAGTGGGACTGTTATCGAAATAGACAATTTTCGAATCAATTTTCCCCATAAGAAATAATGTAAATACAATTAATCCGTTCCTGACACCCAGAAGTATTAAAACAAAAAAAATTTTTACATGAAATATAGATGTAGTACATAAACAATACAGTGGCACATGATGAATGAAACATTAACAGCATAACACTTACCTTTATTGGCGATTCTTCTTAGTGTATGGAAGACTGGAAGAGGAAAGAGATTGAATTACTGTTTGGAAGTGGAATCCCCTTCCATTAACACCTCAGGTACCAAGTGCTTTTCTGGGGTTACTTCTCTTTTCTTTGTTTCTTAATGCCACTAGGACCAGCTTGAGAGTCGCTGGAGTCCTGTCTTGCAAAAAAACTGTCCAGAGAGCTCTGTTTCTGGCGTGTCTTTAAAACTTCGCTAAAATGGGCCAAGACTGTCACTGTACAAGTTGCCAGTATGGCTTGCAACATCCTTCTCAGGGTGATGTTTCTCCGTAAATCTTTCCATCCTACCCCATATTTCAAAAATCTCATTAATTTCTGAAGAAGGCACCTTCTTCCATCTCCCTTCCTCCTCTGCAGCAAGATTCTGAGCTGCGATCTGTTGCTCTTCCTGCTGACGCTCTTGCAGCTCCTCAGTGGTTAGCTCTTCGTTGTGGTCCTCCACCAACTCTTCCACATCCTCCAAACTCTCGTCCAACCCCATGGAACTCCCCAGTGCCACAGTAGAGTTCACAACTGACATAGGCTCATCAAGGGCCTCCTCAAACCCTTCAAAATCCCTCCTGTGGACACAATCTGGCCACAAGTTTCTCCAAGCAGAGTTCAAAGTCCTGGTAGTCACTCCCTCCCTTATAAGGCTTATGCAATGGAGAATACTGAAGTGTTCTTTCCAAAAATCTCTTAGGGTCACGTGAGTGTCTGAGGTCACATTAAAGCACCTTTCAAACATTGCTTTGGTGTAGAGTTTTTTAAAGTTTGAAATGACCTGCTGGTCCATCGGCTGGAGGAGAGGAGTGGTATTCGGGGGCAAGAACTTTACTGTGATGAACCCATACTCCTTCAGAATTAGGTCATCCAAGTTTGGAGGATGAGCAGGTGCATTGTCCATCACTAGGAGGCACTTGAGATCCAATTTCTTTTCCAGGAGGTAATTCTTCACACTAGGGCCAAACACTTCACTGAACCACTCGATGAAAATTTCCCTCATGACCCATGCCTTATTATTAGATCTCCAAAACACACACAATTTACTCTTCATAACATTGTTTTTCTTGAACACACTGGGATTTTCAGAATGGTACACTAGTAATGGCTTCACTTTGAAATCCCCACTAGCATTAGCACAGAACGTGAGCATCAGCCTGTCTTTCATAGGCTTGTGTCCTGGCAGTGCCTTTTCTTCCTGAGTAATGTAGGTCCTCTTTGGCATTTTCTTCCAAAAGAGGCCTGTTTTGTCACAATTGAACACTTGTTCAGGTTTCAGTCCTTCAGCCTCTATGTACTCCTTGAATTCCTGCACATATTTTTCAGCTACTTTTTGGTCCGAACTGGCAGCCTCACCATGCCTTATCACACTGTGTATGCCAGTACACTTCTTAAATCTCTCAAACCAGCCTTTGCTGGCCTTAAATTCACTCACATCACCGCTAGTTGCAGGCAATTTCTTTCCCAAATCGCCATGCAACTGCCTAGCCTTTTCACAAATAATCAACGTCATAAGACTATCTCCTGCTAATTGTTTCTCGTTTATCCACACCAATAATAACTTCTCAACATCTTCGAGTACTAGTGATCTCATTTTTGTCAGCATATTTACCCCCTTTGCAACAACAGCTTCCTTGATTTCCTTTTTCTTGGCTATGATGGAAGATATGGTTGTACAGGATTTGTTATACATCTTGGCCAGTTCGCCCACACGTACGACACTTTCATATTGTTCAATGATGTTTTTCTTAAATTCAATCATATTTCTCACCTTCTTTATCAAAGGCTTGGCACTAGGAGCTTCCTTTGGAGCCATGGTAGCTTATTTAGCACTTGCAAGCACTAAAATGAATGGAATATTATGAAATATTTCATATGAACACATGAGGGGACCGTCACTCACTGGTAAGCAATGGCACACTGGCTGGGAAGGGAGGCAGAGGCGCTCAGAGCCATGAGTACGCGTCCAGGACGAAAGACGATTAGCGAGTTAACGGACCATTTGCGAGTCAGTGTTTAGACGAAATAATGCGACGATTTCCGAAATGGACAACTTTCAGGCCGTACGATTATTGAGGGACCACTGTGTGTGTGTGCATGCACGTGCGTGCATGCGTGCGCGCGTGCGCAAAACAACCACTGTGAAAGAGTAGTGAAATTCCAAGCACTTTTGTGACTTACTAACATTGTCAAGGAACTATGATAGTTCCTTGACAATGTGAGTAGTCACGAAAGCGCTTGGAATTTCACTACTCTTTCACAGCGGTTGTTTGGCATATTTTAAAATCGCCTGTTTACTGTGATCTTATTGCATATATATATTAATATATAATATATATATATATATATATATATATATATATTATATAATATATATATATAATATATATAATATATATATATATATATATTTATATTATATTTATATATATATATTTATATATATATTTATATATATATATTTATATATATATTTATATATATATATATTTATATATATATTTATATTATATTTATATATATATTTATATATATATATTTTAATATATATTTATATATAATTTATATATATATTATATATTATTATTTATATATATATTTATATATATTATATATATATATATATATATATATATATATATATATATATATATATATATTATATATATATATATAATCTTCTTTCTTTCAACACATCGGCCGTATCCCACCAAGGCAGGGTGGCCCAAAAGGAAAAACGAAAGTTTCTCCTTTCAAATTTAGTAATTATAAGGAGAAGGGGGTTTTTTCCCCCCTTGCTCCGGGCCCATTTCAGTGCCTCTTACGCAGCAGGGCTTACGGAGGAAA